AATGAAAGGGAGCGAGGAAGAGAAGAAGAGATGTCACTGTCAGCTGATGTGATTGTCTGAATCTGGCCTGCAGCCAGAGCTTGATCCTCAGTCTCAATTCCACTGAAAGCTTACATAAAACGGGCCTTAAGCCAGAAAGACTGGGTCACCAAAGACAAGTTTCTCCTCATCTCAGGGTTAAATTAGAGGCAGGGCAAGGTGGAGGCCCACAGGGATTCATTTCTGGGTGAGATTGTTTCTAGATGGGGGCGGAGTGGAGGAGGCAGGATCATCCAAGTTCTTGATGTTCTGAACAAACAGTTGAGCAGGACACCCAAAGGACTGCCAAGATCGAAGACACTGACAGTGAAAGTGTGCTCCACAGAGTGGGAGGGCCTGGGGAGAAGAGCTCAGGCCCCAAGGAGGCTGGGTGCCGAAGGTTTTGCTAGGGTTTAGGATGGGATTGAGAGGTTGGTCTCAGGTTTTGCCTCTGCCAGTGAGTGCTTTGGCTCTGTCCTCTTTCATGGCCCTTGGAGGAACTGTCACGGTGTCCAAAGTCCACAGAGGGCAAAGGTAGAGAGGAGAGGTGGGGCATCACTCGGGCCTGATGGTGCACACCTGTAATCCCAGCACTCAAGAGGCTGAGGCAGGGAGATTGCTATGAGTTTGAAGTCAGCCTGGCTACGAAGTGAGTTTAAGGTCAGACTGAACTGCATAGCAAGACCCCATCTCAAAAAAAAAAAAAAAAAAAAGAAAAGAAAAGAAAAAAGGAAAAACAAAACCAATAAATAAATAAGTAAACCAAAAAACCAATAAGTAAATAAACCAAAAATAAAAAAACTCAATTAATAAATAAATAAAACTGGACCAGCGATTCAGCTCAACAGTACAGGCCTAGCAAACGTGACGTCATGAATTTGATCCCTGGTACCAAAAAATAAATAAATAGAAAAAGTAAAATATAAAATAAAATAAACTGTATAGTCGATGACATGGTAATTAGGATTGGGACACCTGGGGTGGCAGAAGAACACAGGGCATGTACCCAGAGACTTTTTGTGTATAAGATGGGTTACCTGGTTACGTTCTCCATTGTGTTCGGAGCTGGATAGCTTGTCCTGGGTTATGTTTAACACAAAAGAGAAGTTGGAGAGCTGAGCCTATAACACAACAGCACATTGCCTGCCTGGTAAGTTCGAGGCCCTGAGTTCGATTCCTGATTCCAAAAAAGAAAAATCAAAAGACCAAAACCAAACCAAACCAAACCAAACAAAAAAACCCTTAGAAGAGAAGTTGGGTTTAGTCCAGAAGTTGTGTCCTTCCTTTTTCCTCTACCCTTTTCCTCAGCTGCTTCCTGCTCAGGGTGATGTGAAGGGCTGGGGCTGAGGGTGTCCCTAGATCCAGGCTTCCCTAAGCCAGCATGGCTGCCCCAGATGATGAAGGACCCCATGAGAAGACCCTTGGGAGGCAGGCAGAGTGGGCAGCAAGAACTTTTTCAGATGCTCTCTGGGGTGGCTAGAGTTGGGCAGAGAAAGCATCTTTCTCAAAGTTGGCAAAGAAGGCAGACAAGAGGACCCCGAGTGTAAGCTGGGAAACTCTTCTGCCTGCAGTAGACCCTGCTGGCCTAGCGCCTGCCGGCTCAGGAAGAAACCATCCTTCACTCTGGTGAGTGTATGGTAAGGGTCGGTAAGGATAAATAGAAGAGCTATAGACACAGCTGTGAAAGACACTGCGGCCACCGGAGGAGACATTGGAATGTGGCTCACGTAATAATAAAAGTAATTGTGGCAATATGTTAACAGTTGGTAAACCCTAATAAGGAGTATTTGAGCATGTGAGTATTTAAGGTACCATTTCTTTGCAGCTTCTATTAAGTTTGCACATTTTAAAATAAAACATTGGGAAAAAATAAAATGGTAGAGAAGCTGGGCATGATGGTGCATGCTTGTCATTTTAAACTGAGGCAGGGCAATCATAACTTTGAGGCCAGTTTGGGCAATTTAATGGGACCTTGTCTCAAAGCAAATTTTTAAAAGCTGGGGTGTAATATGCTTACCTAATATATGAGAAGCCCTATGTTCAATTCTCAGTACCCTCAAAAAAGTTAGGGGAAAAAAACCAGTATCATTTGTTGGATTCCAAGATATATAATTCTATAATTTGATTTAATCTTTTTTAGTTTGGTTTTGTTTTAGACAGGATCTCTCTATGCAGTCCAGGCTGGCCTTGAACTCGCTTGGATTCTACTCCCTCAGCCTCTTGAGTGCTGAGATTACAAGCACGCCTGGCTATTTGATTTAATCTTCAAACTAACCTCAAAGAGTCATTATGATTCTCACATTAAAGATAAGAAAACTGACCAGTACATGCCGGTTATCCTAGAACTCGGGAAGCAGAGACAGGAGGATTGAGAGTTTGGGGCCAACCTGGGCAGCACACAAGACTCTGTATGGAAACAAACAATTACAACCTCACCACTAAAAAGAAAAACAAAAAAGGGAAGGAAGAAGATAAGGAAATTGAAAAGTTAAAAATACTAAATCCCAGAGTGGCTAAGGAATTTGCCCAAATTACACAACTGGAATTAAGAGAGCCCGAAGCAAGGAGAGGTCACATGGAAGTCACACTAATACTTTCTCTCTGAGATAATAGTGGTTGGGTTGGATTGGGTTTGTTTGTTTGTGTTTGCGATAGCTTTCAGTAGTAGTTCAGGCTGGTTTTGAACTCCTGCTTCAACCTCCTAAGTGGTATTCTTAGTTTTCCCTAAAAGTCTTCTACAATCTTTATAAACATAGCTAGGTATGGTGACACAAGCCTGACATGCTTGTAATCTCAGTATTCTGGGAAGCTGAGGGAGGAGGGTCACAACTTTAAACATGGTGTGGGTAATTTAGCAAACTAAGGAGAACCTGTCAAAATAAAGAAGAATTTAAAAAAAGATTGGGGATGTAGCTCAGTGAGAAGGCCCTGGGCTCAGTTCACAGTATTGCAAAAATAGCTAAATAAATACATAAAATACAACAGAATAAAATCCTACACATAATAGTTTGTTTAGTTTTTCCTCTTAAAAAGTTTTATTTGGGGAAAAATCATGTCACTGGCCCAGGTTGGAGGAAAGGAAGGGGTACTGAAATATACTGATACAAGTCAGGTTGGTACAGCTTCCTTAGAGGGCCACTGGCTATTTTGTTTTGTTTTGTTTTTTTGTCTTTTTGAGACAGAGTTTCACTATGCAGTTTAAACCGGATTTGAGTTCAGTTTGTAGCCCAGGCTCCTCTCAAATTTGCTATGATCTTCCTGCTTCAGCCTCCTGAGTGCTGGGATTACAGGCATGGCACCATCTTTTAAAAGTTAAAATTTGCATTGTGCTTAGAGGCAGCAACCTCTTTTCTTTGCCTACTGTGTGCATATGTGTGTGTGTGTGTGTGTGTGTGTGCACGCATGTGTGTATTTTTCTTCAGTATTAGGGACTGAACCCAGGACTTTTGCCATGAGCTATGTCTAAACCCTTTTTAAATTTTGAGACAGGGTCTCACTGAACCATTAAGTTGCCCACACTGGGTTCAAAATCACCATCTTTCAGCTTCAGCTTCCTAGAGTGCCAGAATTACACATGTGGGCCACCATGATTGGCTCAGAGGTCTGTCTTAAAGTATTAAATCATATGGACAGTTGCACATACATAACAAGAAATATGTACAAAGGCATTCATTGTAGTCAGATATGTAAGAGGCAAAGATAGGAAACATCTTAAATATTCATTACTAAAAATATTAAGAAACCATTAGACAGGCAAGGCAGCTCCAGGTGTGCTAATATGCCAACTTAGAGACAACAGATATTAAGAGAAATAAAGCGTGTGTTAAAAGGCAGAAGTGAATATATGCACACAAATAGGTATCTATTCATATATCTTGAATGCATGAATTTTTATGTATGCCTAAAATACCTTGAAAAGATATATACACAAAATTTTCACAATACTTGTGTTTGACATGGGTGATCTGGGGACAAGGGGACAGTGTTAGCTTTGTGTACTACTGAATGAATGAGCCTCCTCTTTGGAATCCGAGGACTTGTTTTTGGGTTTCCTTGGGTAACTTTTGGACTGCTGAAGGGGACAGCAGAGTCCAGGGTTCCACAGAATCCGACTGATCTAGCTCAATCTCCTTGAGCTATAAAGCCATTTATAAATTCAAGTTCAGCCTTTGGAGCTCCATTGGCCCAGGGTGACAGTTTTCCTTAGTGAAAGAGAATCCACCTGGGGAGCTAGTTCAAAGGGTAAGTCCCCAGCTCCACCCCTAGAAGTTCACATTCGAACCTAGGGTGGGGCCAAGGGACTTTTCTCAGGTACTTGACTCTTCCAACACCCACTTGGAGAAACAGGCCCTGGTGTTGATTTGCTTTTGTGCAGGCCTTGACTGAAAGATTGGAGTGGGGAAGAACGCACTGTTTTTTCTGCCTCCTCCTCATTCTTCTTGTTTTGTTGGCACTGGGGATCGTGCTCAGGGCTTGGTGCACGCTAATGACGCACTCAACTGAGCTACATCTTAGCCAGGAAAGCTCTGTCCCTGCAGTTGTTCATTTGCATCTTCCTACCCCATACCCACCTAACCAGTCCCCTGGGTGTGAGATTATAATGGATGAGCCGAAGGAGGACAAATGCCTGAATTACAAGGGCTTGCTGATGAGAGCCATACTTTTTCTGGCTCCCTGGCCTTCTCCTTTAATATAAAAAAATACACACAAAAGCAAGCAAATTACTCTTTGGACTGTGCTTGACTCTGCCCCCTTTTCTCCCCCAAACTACAACACAGCTGGGCAACCCGTTTAAAATAAGGACTTATGCTTTCAATATTCAGGCGTTGCGTTCTCACAGGTGGCCGCACCAACGCTGGACCCTGTTTCAGTGGGAGGATCTGGTGGTGTCCCCCATCCCGCAAGTGTCCCACGAGCGCAGCGGTACAGAGAGGTGGGAGGCTGGAGCCTGCTGAGGTCATTTCCTGTGCCCGTCCGCCAGCCGCCGGCGGAGCGGAGCCACCGAGCGACCTCAGAGGAGCCGGCGGAGCGCGCGGCGGAGGGAGCCGTGCGGCGCGTCCGATGGGAGGCAGCGCCGCCGCGCGGGGCTTTGTGCGCGCCGCCCGCGGAGCCCCCTCCCCGCTGCGCCCGCGCCCCGCCCACCGCGCCCCGTGCTGCCCGGCGGCGAAGACCCGGCAGGCGCGCGGGACTCGGGCGAGAGCGTAGCTGGGGCGGCGGGGGCGGCGGCGCGCGGGGGCGCCGGAGGGCTCCGTGCGCGGCGAGGACGAAGGTGAGCGGCCCCGCGCCCGTGTCCGGGCCGGGGTGGGCCGGGGGTGTGCGGACCGGGAGGGCGCTCGGCTGGGAGCAGGGCCGGCTCTCCGTGGCTCGAGGGCGACTCCGGAGCAGGTGCCTCCCCACCTGGCCGCGGGCTCCTGGCGGCGGGAGCAACGAGGAGCCCTGGAGACCCGCGCGACGGGGACAGGGCAGGCGTTCTCGGGAGGACCTGCGGTGTGGGACCGGCTCGATCCAGTTGCTCCCGGGAAAGGCCCTCGGGACGGTTGTCCAGGTTTCTGTCCTGTCGGTGCGCGCTTCTTTTCGCCTTTCTCCTCCTCACCTCATCTTCGGTTATTCTAGCATTTCTGGATATTTCTCACAGAGGTCCTTATGGGTCAGGCTCGACTGCTAGGGACAGATATGCCAATCCGAAAGGAAAACAGGGTGGGCTTCGGATGACAGCTAGGAACTTTGTGTCCCAGAAATCGGTCCCCAGGGACCAGGCTCCTTCATCGGGGTGGCAGAGGTAGTGGGGACCCTCTTGTGGAAGTGTAGTCGTCTCCCCGTTGGATTGCTCCCGTGATTCCACCTGGTAAATCTTGCCCACATTGTCTTGGTTTTGGGAGAACGCATTGATCATCAAGCTGTGCTTTGAATGGAAAAGGCATCCTTTTTTACTTTCAGACTTCCATGTGCCAGATGCTGTGTATTGTAGGTCTTTATACACCACTACTGCAGCGTTCCTGTCTCTAACCACCATTTAATAAAAGGAAACCAGGACTAGAAAAGTGACTTGCCCACGGTCATGTAGCTAAAGAGTTGAAGAGTCAAACCTTGTAGATTCCAAATGTGGGTATTAGACTATTGCTCTCCCCCAGGGTGCAGAGGGGTCCTGCTCGGAGCTGGATTATGATGAGGTAGGTGCACTCTGTGATCCCAAACTCATTGCAACTAACAACTGAGCTGAAAACACGCGGTGCCATTTCTGCCCTCTTCAGGAGTCGCCAACTGCAGGACAGAACTGTGTCCTTCCTGTTCTGTTCCACCGCCTGCGGTGCCTTCCTCCTTACCACACTACCACCACGCCCCCTCTGCCTGGGATCCAAGCCAAGGCCTCCTGCCTGCTAGGCTATTCCTCCAGTCCCTGCAAGGCTGTGTACTGTGTACAGGACTCCGCTCTGTGCTCCTAGAGAATGCCTTGTATGGGAGGATGTTAAGGTGACAGGATTCCCTCACCCCTATTTTAGGTGATTTTGCAGTAGGCCGGTGCTGAGCCACTGTCCTGCACTCCCTGGACAGCCCAGCCTAGCCGTCTTGCCCCTATCAAAGGCTTGTTCAAAGCCGACCTCCACAATGGGGAAGCAGGCACTTATTGCTGGCTGAAGTATATGCATGAATAGGGTAGCCTCCAGGGAAGATACTTTGGACTGTCTGGCAGTTTAAAAGCTGTATCACTTAACCCTAGCATTCCATTTCCAGGATTGTCCTTCAGGTATACCTGATATATATGAAATAATGCATATTCATTGAATATTCATTGCAGCATTATTTTAGCAACAATCTAAATGTCTGTCAATAAGGAATCCTTGAATAAGATCATGTAATGGCCGTACTGTAGAATACATTAAAGCTGTTAAAAGCATGGAGGGAAAATGCAATAGAGATGTGTATTAATACAGGAGAAAGCCTTTTACTTATATTGCTCAGTACAGTGTGCATAGCGTGCTGTGTGTGCAAGATGTGGATGAATGCTTGCACAGACTATGGATATCTCTGAAAAAACACAAAAGTCAAAAAATGGTGGTGCATGCCTATGATCCCAGCTTTTTGGGAGGCTGAGGCAGGAGGATGGCAATTCAAAGCCAGCCTGAGTAGTCTAGTGAGGCCTTTATAAAATAGTCTGGGATGCAGTTTGGCAGTCTTTGGTTCAACCCCAGCACTATAAAAAATAAAAAACAAACCAGACAGAGCCCCCCATTACCTTCTAATGCCTACCCCATCTCTGGAAGCAAAAGGTTCTCCTGGGCCTGTGGTGACCTTTCATCTCTTTTTGAAAGACTTTGCAATGACACCTTTTTTTTTTTTCAATCGGTACTGGGGATTGAACTCACCTGCTTGCAAGGCAGGTGCTTATGCCGCTGAGCTAAATCCCCAGCCCGCATTGACACCTTTTGATGGCAGAGGTCAGGATATGGAGACTCATCAGCCAGAGGATCATTATTCCTTGTTGTTGTCTTCAGCCTTGTGCATGATTGAGCTGGACATGTACACATCTGTAATCCCAGCACTCTAGGATGCTGAGGCAGGAAGGTCACAAGTTTGAGTCCCTTTGGGGCAAATTAGGAAGTCCTCTCAAAATATAAATAAATAAATAAATAAAAAATGGTAGAGGATAGGCCTGAGTTCCCTAGTATTAGGGGAAAAAAAGTTGGCTTAATTAAATTTAATCTCACATTTTGTCAAATTTTGGTCAAATCGCTAAATTCCCAGGTCACATTTGTGTTTATCTCTGACATAGGTCCCAAATCTGAGGTCAGCAAAGACTCCTTGAAACTCTTTTCCATTACCAGCCCTACCCTGAGGCCCTGCCTCTGAGGCAGAGCCCACTGACTCTTGGGGCACTTTTTCGGTTCATCCAGAGTGCTGGAGAGTGCAGGGTGTGGCAGCACATGCTGGTAATCCCAGCACTCCAGACTGAGGCAGGAGGGTCTCTGTGAGTTCGAGGCCAACCTGAGCTTCATAAGCAGAGTGCTGGAAGGTTTGGGGGCTTCAGAGCATCAAGGCCATGGGAGTCCTTTGACTCACCTGCCCAGTGGTTTAGCATTCAGGATACCACAGGATCAGGAGAACTGGGTTTCTCAAGAGTGGCCATGAGTTGATGATAATTGTTGCTAGATGGGGCACATAGGAATTAAATTGTACTGTTCCTGCTTATGTGTTTTGCGGCTTTCAACATAAAAAAATGAGCTAGGTCTTGTTTTCAGCTTGCTTTCGGTTCACTATTTTTGCTGTTGTGGTGGTGATCCCGGGCTCAAGCTCAGGCCTCATGCATACTAGGCACACAGTCTACCACTGAGCTGCACACCCAGCCCTCAGATCTGTTTCTGCCATTAGTGATGTATTTGTGTTAGGCAAGCCTGGTAGCACCGATGCCTGCTGCCACCACTGAAGCATCGTGGAAAGAGGGCTGTTCTAGTTGCTGGGAAATCAGGGTTCCTCTGTGCCTCTGTGCTCAGCTCTGTGCTTCTCCGCCAGTCACTGATGTGATGAGTTATCTGTTTGTTGTGAATAACTGCACTTGCCCTCTGTCTCAGGGTAATGAGTGAACACACAGTCACATGCTTTGGAAAGTTAAGAGTCATTTTGTAAATGTCAGGTGTTCATTTATGCTCATCCTCACATTTCCTTATGGGAAGTACAAGTATAAGGTGACTTAGCAGGTGAGGCTCAACTCTCTGGCATCTTCCCTAAACATCCCTTATTTTATAGCTGTTGCTTGGACCACCTGTTTCTGCCGGAAAAGCCTCCAGGCCTTCTGCTTGGCAGTAGGTACCTTGAACCAGATCTATTTCCAAACCTCTCAACTCTCCTTGCATGCCGAGGCAGGTCTAGCACGAGTCCCAGCCTCTTCTAGAGCTTGCCAGCATCCCCCAGGCAGCGAGCGGATTAACCAGACCACTTGGTGAGTCCAGAACTGTGATGTCATGAAGGTATTCGGTTGGGGAAAGCCCTCCCTAAACGCTAGGTGTATCAGGGCTATGCAGAGGTTAATGACATTAAATTCCAGAGTCCCAAAGATTGTGATTAATTTGGGTTTCCTCTCTCCCCTTGGAATCTGAGCAGCAGTTTTGACGATCAGTAAAAGTGAATTAAAATTATTTGAACTCTTAACTACACAAACATTTGTTTCTTTCCCCTGTCCTTTTGGTTTTACTTGGGTGCTTTTATTGGTAATTCTTAGCCCTGGGCTAGATTGCAAAATGCCCAGGTCCTAGTCTCAGATGTGCAGTACTTTCTGTTTATAGGAGGAAAGGCAAAATCCCTTAAATGACAAAGGAAATCAAACATAAAGCCTCTTAGCCTCTCTGGAGGCTCTACAGGGTTCTGTTTTGTCTTTTCAGCTGTGATCTTAGCTCAGAGAAGGTCATGTTTTGTTTTGTCTTTTGTCTTCCTGCCCGTTCCAGTTGGTCCCAGTCTTTTGAGGCGGGGATGGCTGGGAGGTTACAGAGTTGGGATTGTTTGGGATGACAGTTCTGGGCGAGCCCAGCTGAGGTCATGTGTCCAGTGTGCTGAGAAGCCCAGAACCAAGAAAATTAGATACCAGATATCAGTGTTTAACTGCTAGGCTTTTCTCGGCAGGTCTACTGACTGTATTTAAAAGGAAATGTCAGCACACACGCTAAGCATTTGTGCGTATGGAGATTATGAGTGAGCCCAGGTGCTTGGGAAAATCTGGAATACGATTTCACCTTAGTGCTAAGACTGGTGAAATATTTTATAAATGGTTTTTCTCACTCTTAACAATGTACCTCATTTATTTTGAAATCACATCAGGCAAACGTTCTACCACCGCGCTCTGTTCCTAGCCTGTCCTAATGATGGGTTAAGGGCACAGTGGATACTGTTGAGATCAGTATGGAAATTCCTTAATAAACTAGGATTGGAAGTTCCATTCAATCCAGCAGTTCCCTTCCTGGGTATTTTCCCAGAAAAATTGAAAAGGTCATGTCTCAGTAATATACATGCACCCATGTTTGTAGCAGCACAATTTATAATAGCTGAATCTTGGAAACAACCAGAATGCTCATTAACCACAAAATGGATGAAAAAGATGTGGTATTTTTATACCATGGAATATTACTGAGCTATAAAAAAGTTGATCTTGAGGCTTTTATAGATAAATGGAGGCCACTTGAGACTATCCTCGTAAGTGAAATAAATCAGACTCACATTTGTAAATATCGTATTGTCTCTTTAGTATAAAAATAATGATAAAAACTGAATGAGTATTAAGATCTAAAATGTATAATAGATATAATAATGAAGGAGAAAGAAAGTGCTCTAAAGGATATAACTATGTATGTTTAAGTGTGGGAGATAGATAACTTCACTAATAAGTTTTTGTTAGTTCATAAAACAGAATGGTTTGTACTGTCATTGTTTGATTGTTCACTTTTTCTGCTTTGATTTTGTGACTTGGGCAAGTACTTCTAAGATAATAATATGTAATTTATCAACTAGTGATTTCTTACTTTTTTTTTTTTTTTGGAAATTCTGTATTATTTCTATCCTTTTTTTCTGTTTTGCTTTTTTTCCCCTTAAAAAAAAAAAAAAAAAAAGAACACAGTAGTTAAACAGGTGTAGAACCAGATCCAAGCCCACTGTGGAGCTGTGCCCTCTCTGCTGCTCGGTGTCCTCCTGTGTGAGCCTGGACAGGAGCGCACACCTGTGGTCTCCGGGTTGCACTGAGGTTGCACACACCTAGCTTACAGCAAGGACTCACGAATGACAGCTGTTGATAGTGCACGAGGGGAGAGAGAGCAGCCAAAGTCAGAAGTGGGGGAAACTGTCATGGAAACTGCCCGCCCGCAAGACAGGGGCGCCCTGTTGCTTGGAGGTGATCTGTGGCAACAGCGGGGCTGCTGAGTTTCCTGCGGCCGGCCGCGCGGCTCCTGTGAAAGGGAAGGTTTAAAACCTGAAGCGCCTTTATCTCTGATCACACTCCTACTGCTTCTTCCTTTTCTCATCCTTGACCTAGTTTGTTTCCCAAATACACCCAGAAGGCATCTGGGGAAATTCTTGCGTCTGGAGCTATTAGAGGTGGCTACTTAATTGGTTCTGAATTTGTACTAAGTTTTTCCAAAGATTTGTGCGCTACTCCAGGGACTGCAGCAAAATATCCGGCGATTTTCTGGTTTGTGCCTTGTAACTTGAAGGGGAAGAGGGGTGGAGAGCCTGTCTGTTCTGAGGTAGGAATCGTCAGGGTCCTACCTGGATGGATAGTTACTAAGGGAATTCAAAGCATATTTCCTTTTCACTTTCCCTGTCTAACAGCCGCAGCGGTGTGAGTGGAATCAGGCTCTATTTGGGACCCCGCCTGTCTCTCGCGCTGTTCACATTCCCCATCCCTTTTCTCCAATAAATTGTCCTACTCTATTTTTTTTTAACCCATTTTATTCATAAATAAAAAGAAAGAAGAAAAAAATTTTAAAGTGTGTCCATCGGGCTAACAATGGTACATACATTGCACATCGTCATCCCGAGCCTACTTTAAAAAAAAAAACAGGAATCTGGAGCTCAGGGTTCTGCCTGTCATTAGCTGTGTGAACTTGGACGAATCTATTACTCATTTTTAAGCCTTTCCTAAATACCATAACCACTACTCCCATTTATCCACATATCAGCTAGCAATTGTGACGGTGTTTTTCTGCTTCTGCTGCTGTGGCTTCTTCTTCCTGTCTCTCTCCCTCTCCCTCTTCCTCTTCTTCCCCTTTCCCTTCTCCTTCTTCTTCTTTTTGATACTGGGGATTGAACCCAGGAAGTGCTAAGCTATACCTGTAGCCGTTTTTATTAGTTTGAGAGTGGATCTCACTAAGTTGCTCAGGCTGGACTTGAACTTGCAATCTTCTCACCTCAACCTTCTGAGAAGTAGTAGTAGGGCTTACAGGTATGCACTGTTTCACCAGCTCACATTTTAATTTTGAGTGTAAGAGTTCCTTGAAAAACTCTGAAGACCAGGGGCCTCTTGTATTTACTTTTATACACCTGGGCCTAAAACAGTGTCTGGCTTATAAATGGTTGTTGATTGGCTAACCAAATGAACAGTGAGCCCTACTTTTCACTTCCTTAAAAAGAAGCTCGTGTTTTCCTTAAGGTTTTATGACTTCCTGAGGTTGTCACCTAAATTCTGCCACAGGGGACCCAGTGAGCTAAGCTGGGAGCATGACCCAGAGCAATGGCCACTTCCTTCCCCAGCGCTGTGTGCCGTCTTCCCTAGTTCCTCCTCCCTTCCCCACATCACACTCCACACACTTACCCTTTCTTCTCTCCGTGCTGGTTCTTAGAGTTCCCAGGAGTATCCAGCAGTTGAGGTCACCATGGCAGAACTCCAGGTGGGCACCCAGGCCAGTGTAGACTGGCAGAAGCGCTGCCTGACCCTGGAGACACAGCTTGTCCGATTTCGCCTCCAGGCCAGCAAGATCAGGGAGCTGCTGGCTGACAAGGTGAGTCCTGAGAGTGGGGAGCTCCTCAGTACTTCAGGGTCGGCAGGGAGGGCCAGAGTTACAGTTTCAATTACATACTTTTCCACACGTGCGAAGCAAAACCTGAGGTCGTCTTTTGTTGGTTTTGTGACCAAGCTCAGCATTTTACTACCCTGTCATCTGGCGTTCCCTCCTGCGCCGACCCTGTCCACAGCACACCAGGAGGCGATAGGAATCTCGGTCCTCTGTCGTCTCTTGAGCCACCGCAGGCTCCAGTGGAGGCTCTGTGTTTCCCTGCCCATTTCTTGGCAGTGTGGGGCAGCATAGTGTTTAGGAGAGAAGGATGCAGGTCTCCTCCCTATTGATCACTTGCTTAGTGCCTGAGCTACCAAAGGCTGCCTGGCTTTCTGGGGACCACCACACGGGCTGGGGTGAGCCAGACCCTGCCTGACTCTGTGGCTTATTGGCTTTGTAACCCTGGCCCTTCACCTCAAAGGAAGGGACACAGATGTCCCCCTCTCAGGGTTATTTCAAGAATTATTTCAAGTCACATATGTGCCTGGCACAGAATCTATCTAAAATGGAAACAGGTATCTTTACAGGCTGCTCTAGGAAGCCCACCACCTTTTGTAGGCACTTATGCTGCTGAGCTAAATCCCAGGTCCTCAGGAAGATGTACGCTCTAAACAGCTGGCTTTGGTGGTTATGGCGGCGCATGCCTGTAATTCCAGTACTCCAAAGGCTGAGGCAGGCAGATTGGCACAAGCTGTAGGCCAGTCTGGGCTACATAGAGAGTTCAAAGCCAGCCTGAACTACTGAGTGAGATCTGTCTCAAAAAAATAAAAAATGAAACAGCTGACTTTTAGAGGCATTTTGAAGCATGACTGATTTAGAGAATGGAGACCTGCACTTAAAAACATAAATTTGTGTAGATTAAAACATCCATGCTCTGTAGTTTTGACTCATCTGCTTAGCAAATACTTCTTTCTTTTTTTCTTTAATTGGAACTGGGGATCGAACTCATGACCTTGCACTTGCCAGGCAGGTGCTCATGCTGCAGAGCTAAATCCCCAGCCCCTGCAAACCTTTCTCTCATAGCACAAAAGTAAAATCCTGTTTCCAGGTACTGACACAGTCCTGATGGCTTAAGTCAGAATAAATGACCTGTTTTATTGACTGTCCTGCAACCTGGAACCAGGAAGGCAAGTCAGTGGCATGCCTCTGCTGGCAGTTCAGGCTGGCCTTGAACTCACTATGTAGCCCAGGCTGGCCTTGGATTCACAGTGATCCATCACATCCAGCCAACCTGTACTAGAACTCTTGGACCTTGCCTCTGTTGGCTTTGCTGTCTCTTGATTCAGACTGTGCAAGACAGGTGCCCTTAGGTTCCTGTGGGTGCTGCCAGATACTGTCCTGAAAATGGAAGGGTTCACCCACCTCAGAAAAGGGGCAGCCAACCTTAGACAGTGGTTCTTGAAGTGTGGTGGAACCACCCAGAGTGCTTGCTAGCTAAGCATGTGTGTCTCCAGGTCCCAGCTCAGTCCTCTTGGCCTGTGTCCTCAGGATGCTGCAAGTGCTCTCCATATTTACCAAGCTCTCAGAAAATAGTTTGTACTCTATAAAGTTGGAGAAGCGTGCCTTAGGCTGTGATATTAGGGTTAGGCTGTGAGGGCAGAAAAGGATGAGGTAGTTACTCAGAGAGGAGAAAGGTCTATTGCTAGTAATGAGAACAACAGAAATAACTTTAAAAGCACAAGCTACCCAATGAATACAGTGATGTGCACCTGTCATCCTAGCTACGTGGAAAGCTGGGGCAGAAGGGCGGCTTGAGCTCAGGAGTTTGAGACCAGCCTGGACAACATAATAAGACACTGTCTCAAAAAGCACCAGGTCCAAAATGAAGCCCTTAGAGAGCTGGCCACTGAGAAAAATGAGAGAAAAATGAAGAGGGAGAATGCAAGAGGTGCTCAGTGCATAGCTGCGGTCAGGCAGGCAGCGGCCTCTCTCTAGTGACACTGTCGGGTTTGCATCTGTCCCTCTGCGGAGGCAGAGGTGGGATTGGCTACCTGGAGGGTGGGGCTGAGACTGAGCCTTCCAGGTAAAGTCGCATCTATCACAGCCACATCCTGAATGAAGAGGTGAATGTGGGAAACATTCACCCACCCAGGTGAGGGGATGGTGGCGGCCTCTCATGCTTAGTTAAAACTCAGGGGAGAGACAAGTAAAGCAAAGAAAAAGAGAGAGAAGTCTTCCGGGACTCAACACTGGTAATGGTTTCACATTAGGGTTCATACCACCTGCATGTTTAAAGAAACGTAAATTCTGGGCCAGAGGCCCTGGGAAACCTTCTAGGAATAGACGCGGACCCTCTCTGGAGGGACCTCGCTCCAGATCTCTCAGGATCCACACAGAGAAAAGGCCCCTAGGGAAGATGGGTCTGTAATCCAGAGTGACTGCTGCCTGGGGAGCAGTGGGCAGTGAGTGACAGTCCGCGGCCACAACCACAGCTGGACTTCTGGTAATAGAGCTGCTGACAGGAGCCCATGCAGTGTGTTCAAAACTGTCACAGGCATAGGACAAAACTGAAACCAAGAGACAAGAAAGAGCAAGTGAACTTGAAAACTGGATAGAACTTCTAAAACAGAAAGTGTTTCCACTGAAATTAGTTTTCTTTTTTTTTTTTTTTTTTTTTTTTTTGGTACCGTGGATTGACCTCACAACCCTGCACATGCCAGGCAGGTGCTTGTGCCACTAAACTAAATCCCCGGGTTTTTTTTTTTTTTTTTTTTTTTTTTGAGTCAGGGTGTCACTGTAGTTCAGGATGGTTTTGAACACACTGTGAGGCCCAGGCTGGCCTCCAACTCATAGTGATCCTCCTGCATCAGCCTTCCAAGTCCTGGGTGTGCACCACCATGCCTGGTGTGAAATTAACTTTATTGGATAGATTAACTGAGTGTCAGATTAGCAAATTGAGTGACACTGATTAGCAAAGATGGATGAAATGAATGGAAGGCAGACCCGAGGGAATCGTGCGATGCGGCACAGAGAAACTGACCCAGCGCCGAGGAGCGGACAGTAGGGTGACCCTGTGCACACCAGATGCAACTCTGGAGTGAAGAACACAAGGAGAGGAGCGCTTGAAGAAATAATGGCTAGAAAGTTTCCAGCCCTGGTGAGGGATGTGAAGCCTGAGATTCAGAAGGCAGAGTGAGTCTAGACAGGATCAATTTTAAAAAATTACTGCCTTCTGTTTTAGGTAGATTATAGTTTGGCCGCTGTAAGAAAGAACCTAAAATAACACTGGGCAAAAAGACAGATGTTTCTTTCTTTCTTAGGGCAGCGTCCTTTGCATGAAGAGGCTTCACACTGATAGCGTCATTCCAACCCTTCCCTCCAAGCACATGACCAGAGATTGCATGCATTCCTGCCACACACACCCCTCCGGCCAGGCATTAGTTGTGTGGATGTGTCAGTTGTGAGGAAGATTGGGAATGTGGCCTTCACTCTGAAGTTATGTGCTCAACTTAAAGTTTGTTCTATTTGTTTGTTTTGTTGTTGGTTTTTTGAGACAGGGTCTCACTGTGTAGCCCAGGCTAGCCTCAGACTTGTGGCAATCCTCCTGCCTCAGCCTCTTGAGTGCTGGGATTACAAGTATGCGTCACCACGCCTGGCCTGTGATAGGAATAGTTGAACACTCTTTTCCCAGGAGTAGTTGAGACCTAGGATGGGGTGACTCTCAGCTCAGGCCATACCTGGGCCTGGCTGGCCTGGGCTGGCCATGCAGGGGAGAGTTTGTTGTTCCTTCTGGCACAGCACCACCACATGGAACAAAGAACTGCGGGCTTGGGGCTTGAATACCATCAGGTTGGTGACAAGTCAGGTTGCCGCAGCCAGTTAAGGCAGCTTGTGAATCTTTGATGTGGCTGGTGAAAGTGGATCCTTAGCTGCCGAAACCTCTGTGCCTCCTTGGCTGATACACCTGCACCCTCCATAAGGAGGACAGCTGAGGACAGAGTCCTAGGGAAGCCAACGAGGGTGCCACTTGTCAGAGGTCTGTGGGCCAAGGGCCTTTGAAGGACCGAGTGACAAGTGGCCATGCTGGGGTTGAAAGGAGAGTGTGAAAACTTGAAGACACATCTTGGTGCAGTCCAGCAGCAGTAGAGAATTAATTTTCATAAAAATGAGGGAAACGTGAGGTTGAAAATATGCTTTTCAGAAAAGGACAGCAGAATATTAACTGTCAAGGATGATAGCAGATACACGGGCGCTGACCGTGCTTTCCTAAAACAGCTGTGGAATACTCAGAATATTTTCAGTGTCCAGGAACAAGTTCTAGAGAAAAATATCCCACAGCACAGAAGTGAATACAGCATGCCTGAGTGTCAGCTGTCCTTGGCAGGAGGACAAGAATGACTGGAGGCTGGCAGCATCCAGGAGCAGCTGGAGCTTGGGCCCTGGTGCAGAGGATGCCTGCTGTGCCTGCCCTTTGCCCTTTGCATCACAGGGCCACACTGCAGAAGGCTGCAGGGAGTGGCCTGCTACGTGGCCAGTAATAGTGACTCCTGCCTCTGACCAGGGTCCTTGGCCACTCATGACCTCAGTGAAGATGGCCAGCTGGAAGACCCAGCTTTATTCTCTCAAGACCCAGATTTATTCTCTCTGCCTTGGTTTCCATCTCAAAATAGGGAGACGAATATTTTTCTCAGATGACTTTACAATCGAGGTATGGTGGTACACACCTATAATCCCAGCACTCTGGGTTGAGGCAGGAGGATTATTGTGAATTCGAGACCAGCCTGGGCTACAAAGGCCAGCCTGAACTGTGTAGTGAGACCTTGTCTCAAAAAGAAAAAAAAAATCAGAAAATTGGAAAATGTCAGATGATGGCTGCAGATGGTCATGTGTATGAATTACCAGTTCCCATGGAAGTCTGTGTCTTTCAAGCTATAGAGCAAATACTCAGTTTAAAGTCAGCCTAGGAAATTTCAGGCCTTTCCATTTAGTGTTTCCTTTTCACTGTTTTTTAAGACAGGGTTTTGCTACGTCATAGAGGCTGAGCTGGGACTCACCATGTAACTCAGGCTGGCCTTGACTCATGTTGACCTCCTATCTCAGGATGATAGGCGTGCCCTGCCACACCTGGTCAGTCATGATTCATAGAGGATGGGAAGGAGAGGGAATGCAGGTCTCTGGACCTGGACCTTCCCACCACCTACATAGGATCATGAGCAGGGCTGTGGCTTTCTCAGTGCCTGCAGCTCTTCATCTGCCAAGACCCTCAGGATTGGGGAACAGTGTTGCTGGGAATCTCTCCCTACACCCTGGAGCCACTTGAGGCGGGCAGTGCAGCCTGGCCCGAGAGCGGCACCTGCACCTCTGCTCTGTGGTCCTGATGCTGTGATCAGAGGCACCACCTAACCTTTCCTCTCTCCCTCTCTGACCGAGCAGATGCAGGAGCTGGAGCAGAGGCTGCTGGAGGCTGAGGAGCGAGCGGAGAAGGCAGAGACCCAGGTAACAGGAAGAAACTGGTGCAAGGTGCAGGCAGTGCCCAGCTCCTCCCGCAGACACATGTGGGCATGGTCAGCGCACTGACGAGCACCTTACAAGGTCAGAAACACTACAGTATGTCTGGGAACAAATTGAGATACAGGGCACATTCTGTCAATACGGAAGTCCCCAGGTCAGGTCAGCACAAGGAGTGGACGGATGAGTCCACAAAGAGGCTCACTCTGCTGTGGGCAGTTTTGGCGACTTATCCCATTTAATCCTCACACATGGTGCCCATCTACTGTGGCTTCACCAGTGTGCGTGCTCCCCTGGTCACTCATGTCAGGGCCAGAGGAGGCTCCTCTGACTGGCTCTACATACATAAGCTTCTTGGCTGCCATGATGGGAATCGGGCCGGAGGTGTGTGCATTTCAGCCCAGAAGAGACACAGCATTTGCGCTCCAAGCGCATTGATGAGTGCATTCCATGGCCCAGCTAGTGAGACGATTTCCATGGCCCAAGACCTAACCTGTCTTTTCAGAATAGCCAATGTTAGTTTCTCCCCTGTCAGTTCTTTCTTTTGCCTGAATAAAAGCCTTAACAGAGGTCACTCATTAACTGGCCCAAGCTGTCATGCGTAAGGGCCCTGGCTGGCAGTCACATCGTTAGGCGTTGTACTCATGGTGTGAGTGGTGTGAAACCTTACAGGGTCGTTGGTGACTTTCAGGTGGGTGTGATGGAAGAGAAGGTAAAACTGTCCAATCTTAGGAATGTGGACTCTGCAGGCAGCCTGCACCGGAAATACCAAGAATTGCTGAAAGCCATGCAGGGCAAAGTGGAGCTCATCAGCCAGCTGGAGGCACAGCTGGAGAAGCAGGTAAGGCACCATTCAATCCCTCAACATCTGCACCATTGGTCCACAGCCTCCTGAGCCCCTCCACTGGAGCCCTGGAACGACAGGAAACTCATTCCCTCTCCAGCTATTCCTTTGTATGGAGGTCGAATTATCAGAAGGTCAGGCAGGGGATACAGAGGCAAAAACACCTTGCAGACACCCTTCTGATTTTAGTATATGTGCTGCTGCAGTGAGCACAGGACTGTTCTGGGTGTGAATCCTTCTTCTGGCTCCTGTTGCTCTCTCACCGTAGACATATTCCTTATGCCACTTACTCTCAAACCAGGAATGGTGGTGCACCCTTAAATCCCAGCTCTGGGGAGGCTGAGGCAGGAGGATTACAGCTAGATTAAGGCCAGTCTGGGCCACATAGCTCAAAGCCAGACTGAACTACAGAGTGTCACCCTGTCTCAAAAATGTCACTGGTTCTCCTTTTCTCCCTTTATAAAATAGAGGTTATAACACCTCATCAGGCTCTGGGGAGAATTAAGCCAGGTAGTCTGTGTATAATATAGTGGTCAGTGCTTGGTAAAGAGAGCTCTTCCCCATCTGTCTTGGCCTGTATCCTGCCAACACGTGCTCCACAATACTTGGCTATAGTGTGACCACAGCAGTGCAGGGTCAGTGGTCAGCCTTGGTTGGCCGTTTGGCCAAAGTGTCTTAGTGAACTTAAGTAGGTAGAGACCTAAGTTGCCGCTTCCTCTGAAAATCAAGGCCTCCCGCTGAGCACGTGGGATCCCAGGAGAGGCCACTGCCCAGCACTACAGCTGCAGTCAACTCTCCTGCTCTTCAGAGTACCTTTGTATAGACGGGGCCTCCTGTATTGCCCAGGCTGACTTCAAAGCCCGCAGTCCTCCCGCCTAAGCCTCCTGCAGAGCAGAGATGACAGGCGTGTGGCCTGTGCCTTGCTATCTGAGAGGACTTCTAGAATGTTCTTCTGCCAGGTCCTGTGCTCAACCCCCTCCCCTCCACAATCTCATGAAGTCCATCACAGTTCTGTTTGTTCCTTCTGCCATGGTCTCGTCTGTCCAGCTCTTGCTGGACCTCCATTTCCAATGCCATCCATTTCTATCAGCAGACCCCACAGTAGGCTCAGTGACTCATTTTCTGTGTGGATGTCCTCTGTCAGTTCCCAGCCAATCCTAGCAGTGCTTTCAACTATGGGTTTTAGGTATGTGTGTTTGTGTGTTTTAATCTTTATTTTTTTGTTGATGTCCTGCTTACATCCTCGCTGATATTAGATTGTTCATTTTGAATTGCCCTCTGTAGGTATGTAATTTGTGTCATAAATTCTTCCCAACTGGTATTTTGATTTTATTTAAAGGAGTCTCTATTTTCATCTGTACACTAATTTATAGGTATGATGTAGATCTAGTAGTCTTTTCCTCTGTGGCTCTTTGAGATTTGAATTATGTTTAGGAGTTTGTAAGAATGTAACTCTTTTTTTCTTTTAGGCTGTTCCCATTCAGCCATTTGATGTTTCCTTTGGTTTGCCCTCTGGTTGTTCACTGTGCCTGGGACACTGTGATTAACTGAAGTCCTCATGTTTCTTGCAGAAGCAGATGAGAGCCGAGGAAGCAAAAGTTGTTCAAAAAAAGGCTGCAAAGATCAAGGAGTGGGTGGCACTGAAGTTAACAGAGGTGAGTGAGTCAGGAACCGGCCCGGGGCCAGCCAGCGATGTGCCTAATTAGGCTGGGTCGCCTCCCCCCGGGGCTCCTGGCTCCTGTGGGGCTCTCGCCCGCCCTTCTTGCTGCCAAGCACTTGTCTTGTGTTCAGTTTGAACACCGGGACGGGTGACTCTACTTCCCTCTGCCTCCACCATTTCCCGGGCGCTGCTGTGACCGACTTTGTGCGGGGTGTAAGTATGGAAAGAAAGAATGAGTCGCTTCTGGCCAGGCTGACCAGTTTCCTCCTGAGGACTACACTCAGGCCGTGTCCACTCTCTCCCTTTCTCCTGTGTCCTCCTCCATTCTTCTTTCTGCTTTTATGTTTTTCATTTTTTAAAATTATTCTACACAGAATTTGTGCATTTTAGCCTTGCGGGCTGGCCTGCGGGTGGCAGGGAGGGAGCTGCTCTGCTGTAGGAAACGCCAGCCCAGAAGCAGCTTGACTGTGCATGGCTTGGCACCAGCCTCCTCACAAACATGCTTTCCCTGACCTTGAGGGGTCCCGGGGAGAAGGCACCTCCTTTCCAGCCATACTGTGTTTCCCAGGATGCAGGATTCTCTGAACCCGGCCTACCTTGGTCCCAGCAGCAGTGGGGGGCTACACAGGGACGAGAAGGACTGGCTGTCCAAGGACAGCTCTTTTGTATCAATCCGCCTGGGTGGGACTTTTTAACTTTTTAAAAAATTGTGGCAAAATATACATACAATTTATCTCTATGGTTTTTATAAATCACACAATGTTGTGCAGTGATCACCACTATTCCAGAGCTTTTCATCTCTCCCAAACCCACCAGCCGCTTGCTCCTTGTTCTCTGCCGACCCACCCGAGTACCTGGTAGCCTGTGTTTCCCTTTTCCTCTCCATTCATTCTTTACTGATAGGTCGCTATAGCTGTATTTAAGAAGCTTAGGACTGGAAGCTACAGTGCTGCTGTCAAAAAAAAAGCTGGGCACAGTGGCACATGCCTGCAATCCCAGCATTTCTGGAAGGCCGAAACGGGAGGATCCCAAGTTCCAGTTCAGAGTAGGCAGCTCAGTGACTTAGTGAAACCTTTTCTCAAAATAAAAAATAAAAAAGGGCCTGAGATAAAGGTCAGTACAAATGGCCTGGATCCAGTCCCCAGTGCTGCAAAAACAAAACAGTACAAAATAGAAAGGAAAGGGGTTTGTAGTTTGGAAAGGGATGGACATGCGTCCCCTGGCTTTGTCCTCCACAAAGGGTGGCTCCCTCCTGAAGGAGGGCCTGGGCTTGTGGTGCCTCCCCTCCCCTCCTTCAGGTGCACACACCAGGTGGCTTGCTGGGCTGCAGGAATGGGGACAGAACTGGTGTCTGGTTTGTCTTTGTATTCCCACAGCTGTAGATGGCCCTTGATAACAATGTTCAATAAGTCTACTGAGTTTATTTCAAAAGAAAATGCAGCCACTGTGAGAGTGGAGTTCATAGGTGGTGGGTGGAGCAAGAGAAACCAGACCTGGAGAAGTACATACTGGATAGTCTGATTCATCCAAAGTTTAGAAATAAACCAGTATAGGGAGGCCTGCCGAGAAGGAGAAGCCCAGTAAGTGCAAAAGGGAATGTGGTGAGCTCCGGAGGACATTACTTTCAACAGGGAAGGTGTGACTGTGAAGGGCCACAACAGAGAGCTGTGTGGATGCTGGCAATTATTATCATTACTTTTTTGTGACAGGGTCTTACTGTGTAGCCCAGGGTGGCCCTGAACTCACTATGTAGCTCAGACTGGCCTTGAACTCATGACAAAATCCTCCTGCCTCAGCTTCCCAAGAGCTGAGATTACAAGGGTATGCCACCATGGATGGCTGTTAGTAGTACCTTGATATTGTTACTTTTGATATTGGAGATTGAACACAGGGTCTTCATCACTAGCCTTCCTTAATTTTTTAAAAATTTTATTTTGAGATAGGATCTTGCTAAGTTGCTGAGTTGCCCAGGCAGGGTTCAAACCTGGGGTCCTTCTGCCTCAACCTCCCAGAGTGCAGGGTTTACAGGCATAAACCACCACACCTAGCTTCAATTTTTATCCATTAACCTGGGCTGTGGTCATCTAAGTAGTAGTTTTAGAGTCATTTGTTCCGCTGTTTGTTGATATAGGATGCAGCTTTCTGTGCATATGTCACATTTCACAATTTTAAGAAGGTTAAAAATAAGCCAGGTATGGGAGTGCACATCTGTAATCCCAACTACTTTGGACTTCGAGGCAGGATGATTGAAAGTTCAAGGCCAGTCTGGACAGTTTAGCAAGACCCTGTCTGAAAAAGAAAGGGGAGAGGGTTACGATGCATCTCAGTGCTTCCTGGGTTCAATCCCCAATACAAGAAAAAGCCAAACCAACAAAAAGCTTTAGAAAGAGGAAAGAGCAGGTCTGCCAAAGGAGAGTTCAACCTCAGTCCAGACCAGCTGGCACAGGGGAAGGAAAGAGGAGGGCTCCCTGAGAGGACAGCACTGGGTCAGGAGGGCACCAAGTTTCTTTTCCAAAGGTTGGAACTTTAATCTTATTTTGAGTTACCTATCTGGACCTGTAGGAGCTGTGTATTGTAAATCTTCATCTTCTTTCTTTCCTTTTCCTCCTTTTCTTCTTTCTTTGTAGTGCTGGGCCTTGAGCTAAGCAAGGACTCTACTCCTGAGCCATACCCCTTGCCCTCTAAATCCACATCTTTCTCCCCCAGCTTGAGATGGAGAATCAGCACCTGAAAAGCTGTAATCAGCACCTGATGGAGCAGGTGGGCACCCTTCAGGCTGCGCTAGAAGGTAGGCCAGTGCATGGGGATGTGTGGGGGGTGAGGGGTACACATGGGGGTGTGAGATGCATGTGGTTATGACAGGTAAGGGGTGGAGGAGAGAGAATGCTCATTGGTCTTGCTTTTGCTCCCACTTCAGCCCTTCAGATGGGGCCTCCAGGGAAGCTGCCGGTGATCCCCAAGGGAGCCCAAGAGCAGGAGTCCGTGCCTGCAGAGGTGGGGGCCCAGCCTGTGGGGCAGGACGGTGGTTCCCAGGCTCCGGATTTTAAAGCGGCTGTTCCCATACCTTCTCTGGATGCTTCCGAGAGCAAAGGTTTTCTGTCTGAAGCTAGAAGCCCTGTGGAAGATACTAGTTCCAGCGCACTCCATCCTGGGGAAGTGGCAAAGGCCAAGGTGCTTCAGCCTCATCTGGAAAGCGAGCACTTTCCCAGCCAGCTGTGCATGAAGCCTGGTGCCCCCAGGCGTGGGTCAGCCTCCTGCGGGGACAGCCTGGTCCCTGCTCAGGAGAGGGTGCTCCTGGGCATCAAGACCTTTGCCAGGGAAGGTGGCCCTGGCAGCAGCCTGACCCTTCCAAAGGTTCGGGTGCCCAGCTCTCCCCAGGATAGCATCCAGATGACCAAAAGGCACCACAGTCAGCCCTCTGTTGGACCCAGGCACTCTGAGCATGTGGTGAATGTTGAGGTTGGGGCCCTGTCAACCGTCCACACGTCTGGCCTTTCCAAGCTGGAGACCTGTGCTGACTTCCGGGAAGAACCAGAGAAGATGGAGACAGGGGAGCTGCCTCCAGCAGGGAAGGAGGAGGAGAGGGGAAGCCTGAAGGCAGCTAGCACCAAGCTGGAGGATGTGAGGCTGGGGAGCAAACCACCCACACCACCCTTGCACAGGTTTCCATCCTGGGTAAGAGGCAGCCTTGGGACTGGGCTGGGGTGGAGCCAGCCCTGGTTGCACTGGTCATGGTGGCACCAGGTACCCGACACACAACTTAAAGGAAGGTTTATTTTTGCTCATGGTTTCAGAGGTTTCAGTCTGTGGTAAGCTGGCTGCAAGTCAGTGGTAGAAGGGCACAGTGGGGCAGAGCTGCTCCACTCACAGCAGCCTGGAAACAAACAGTGCAGAGGAAACGCCAGGAGAGATTTGTTCTCCAAAATCTCATCCCAGGGACCTGCTGCTGCAGGGCATCATCTCCTACCAGCACTTTCTGCCGTGGTCAGTGCCTCTTCACAAGTCAGGTTGACAGCTAAAGTGAACAGGCACGTGTGCTGAGCCTGAGCAGAGGCTGGCATTCTCACAGCAGCACTGGGAGGCGGGTGCCAGGGAGCTCCCCACCTACGCAGCTAGCGCGGGGCAGAGTCAGAATCCAAAATGGTGCCGGTGGTGCTGGCCGTCTGTTCCTCAGCACTCGCTGTGTGCCACGCGCCGAGCTGGTGCCAGTGCACATCTCCTCATGTCATCTTTGAGATCTTACTGTACGTGTCAGGGTTAAGAGACAGGTCCCAGGATTAAGCCACTAGGATTCACCTGTAACTGTATGACCCAGTGCTCTCCTTCTGCAAGGTCACATGTTAGTTAGCAGCAGGCCAGGCTGCCTTTGGAGCCCAGCGCCGATGGGGTGGGACTAGAGTTTGCTACTCACGACCAGACCAGGAGCTGCTGTGCTATGAGATGGCACTGATACGTGGCAGCAGGAGCCACGGGGTGCCTGCGGCAGGGTTGCCTCCCCAGGCCAGTGCTGGGAGAGCCTCACTTTCATGTGCGTCTTCCAGAGGCTTCACTTGAAGGCCTGGTTCAGGGAGGCACCGACCCAAGTGCTGAGTGCTCCGAGGGCCACACCAAGACTGGGTGCACAGCTGAGTCAGGTCAGGGTCTCCCTGGGACTATAGCACTTGGGAGGCTGAGGCAGGAGGAAGCTCACTTGACCCCAGTGGTTCAAGACCAGCCTGTGTAACATAGTGAGAAACAGAAACCAAACAAACAAGCAAAAACAATAAAATGCTTCAGGTGACATTGTCCACACGAGTGTCAGCTACACTCCTGGGATACAGGTGTTCAGGGACAACATCAGGTCCTCCCCTAAGTGCTCCCTCTCAGCCAGAGCAGTCTGAGACTCTTCCATTGCCAGTCCTCATTGTGACTCGTTGCTGAGGGAAATGACAACAGTGCCATCTTGTCTGAGGCCCTTGAGGGAGGGGCATTCCTTTCCATGTGAGCTTAGGAAGCCACCAAAGCCATCGTGGCTAGAGAGTCCAGTCTGGACAGGAACCACCTGGGGAAAACAAGGCCCGGGAATTCAGAGGTGTCAGAGCTGTTATTTGCCTTTAGCATTTGTAGAGCGCTTTTTCTCTTGATCCTTAATCAGCCTTGCAAGGTTGGCATTGGATACCGTCTGTCAAACAGTGCTTTCTTTTGTTTAACCTCAGTCCTCCAAGCTAACTTTCATTTCCTTTGTGAAGTTAGAGGCCTATCCTTGGTTTAATCCCATGACTACTGTGGGCAGAAATGATCTTCCCTATGCCCAGTGTCACCATGTGCACCCCAGCTAGCTGCCCTGCGGAAGTACAGGCATCCCCACGCCCCCTCCCTGCTCCTGACCCATCCTCACCTCCTCTTCTGCCCCCCAGGCCCTGTAGTGGTGCTGCCTTGCTCCAAGGCTGCACCCCAGTGTGCAACCTCCTTTCCTGCCCATCCCCAGCCTGACTGCCCCCAGCTGCCTCCTCTGCAGGGCAGCAAGCTCCCTAGTCAGCCCTTGACTCACCATCACCTGGGAGGCCTTTGTTTTCCCTGTAGGGTGAGTGGAACAAACAGCTCTAGAACAACCTGGGCCCAGCTGAAGATCAGCTCACCAGGCCTGGTAGCTGCTTCAGCCCTGGGCACACCCTAGGGCAAGGGTGCTCTGCGGGGTTCCTGAGCCCATTTGGGTGAAGTAGCCTTTTTTTTTTTAGTGTTGAGTATTGAACTCATGACCTCGAGTTTGCCAAGCAGGTGCTTATGCCACTGAGCTAAACCCCCAGCCTTGAAGTAGGCTTTGTAGGTTGGCCCTGAAGCCTAGCCCTGATTTGGTGTTATTACTGCAGAGATATCAGTAGCCCTGATATTATTGTAGGAAGACATTGTATCTTAGGTTCCAAATACAGCAGCTGACTTGCAAAAGAATTTGCTCTCACCATGGGACTTTGACTTCCTCATTATCTACACTGCCAACCTCAGGGGTGAGATCCTGAGGCCCACAGGCCACATGCTGAGAACAAATTACTGACCTGGCCTCCTCTCAACCCAAGGATGAAGATGGACTCAGGAGAGGGAATGGATATCTGTTGGATATCACGTGTTATGTCCAAGTCTTAAATGTTGCCATTAACTCTCCCTTGATTCCACAGCAACCTCCAGAGGGTCAGTATTGTTACTGTGTTAGAGCTGAAGGAAGTGGGGCTTGGAAAGGAAGAAACCGGCTGAGAGTCCTCACCCAGTACCCAGCCCACCCTGGTTGGGGAGCCAGCAGTGTCCACTTGCAGAGCCAGGCTTTTCCTCTGCTCCCTGGAGGGGCTGTGGTAGGCACAGTCCTGGCCTTGACCTTCTGGAACCTCTCTTTCCAGGAGAGCCGCATCTACGCTGTGGCGACTTCGGGCATGCAGGTGTCAGATGTGTCTCCTCGTAGCAGTGCTGCTTGTTGTGGTGAGTCTGAGACTGAGAGGCTGGAAGGCTCAGGAGGGCCATTGGTGGCAGGGTGGGTGAGCATGGAGGAGGAGACTGCAATAGCCAGGGTCCCCACCAGGAGCAGTGCAGTAAGCTTGCACTGTCTGAGCCACCTGGCACTGGAAGGAAGTTGTGTGGGTTCAGCTCGGCAGAGCTGGCTCAGAGGGGAAGCAGTCAGGGTCAGAACCCATCCCAGAGCTGGGAGCGACCACGTCTGTATGCAGGGCAAGGCTGTGGAGGGGAGCCCTGTGCCCTGATTCAGGTGAGTCCTGCCCACTGGCTCCTCCCTCTCTTGCCAGCCCCACAGCAACGGGCCCCCAAGGGCACATGGTTTGTAACTCAAGCTTTGTGGATGGGGGAGAAAATGCAAGGCTTTGGGATTCCGTTGTGTGGGCTTTCCTTCGAGATCGTGGCGCTCAGTGTCACGGTGAGGGAGGCAGTGGAGATGAGAAAGGCCCTGGCCCTCCTCCTCATCTGCCCGGACCCCTCCTGGTTATGCCCTCCCCTTACCCTTCGTTTCTCCTCAGCTTCAAGCCCTCCTGCTCTTGTGTGCTCTGGGCCTTTCTGTGGCTTTGTCTACAAGAATGTCACTGTGCCTGTCTACACAGCACTGAAAGGGGTAAGAAACCACTGTGTCAAGAGATGGGGCGGCCCTGTCAGAAGAGACACTGTCTCTGCCTGCGCTGCCTGGGGAGGGCTCGAGAGGCCAAGGGAGCGCTCAGCGCGACATTGTTTTTTATTATTTATCATTTTGGGTGTACAAATTTTGCATTTACAAAAATTTGAGTCCGTATGAACGTGGGCAAAGTAAGAAGTTACAGGTTAAGCCTGTATCTATCCCACTCTGTCCCACTCCTCCGGCCCCGAGGACAGGGGCTCCTTCCTGAAGTGTTTGTGTTTAGACACATATTCTCATAAGGCTGGTACACTTTTTTAAGACAAAAATCAGACATAACAATCACACCATATTTTCATACATATTTTTGCCTTTTTGCTACTGGGTTGGAACCTTTATAGTAATATTTGGCAAAACTTGTCATAGAAAAGTGAGAGACCAAAAGTGAAATTTCTCATATTGCTTTTCACTGATTTCTAATGTGAGGTAACTATGAGGAATGATTTAGTGTTTATTCTGTAAGGTCCTCTGATGCATTTACAAAAAGCGAGCATGCATGACTGCATACAGACACAAGCACACCTCTGTCCTTCCCCTTGTCTCTCTCTTCTCTCATCCTTATCCCTCTCTATCATTCTCATGCATATGTGTGAGTGTGCATGCGTGTGTGTCACACACACGCAGAGGGCATCATGTGCCAGGCATAGCATCACATACCTGTAAGCCCCTGGGAAGCTGAGTAGGATTGCAAGTTTGAGCCCAGCCTGTCAACTTAATGATAAAGAAGACCTTGTCTCTAAATAAATACATAAATACATAAGTGTCCAGGGATATAGGTCAGTGTGAGGGCCCAGGTTCAATCCCCACACAAAGCCAAGGGGGATCATGTTCTAAGGCCGTCCTGTGCCCCCGCTGACTGCTCCCTTGACCGTGTGTCAGTGCCGCCTCCTGCGGCCCTGTAGGACCCCTCAGTGCTCCTCCACAAATTCAGAGTTGTGTCCTTATTGTTTCTAAAATAAACGTGGCAGCGAGCATCATTGTGCATGTGCATCTTCGTGCGCTTACATATCTGTATTTCTATAGGACACCAGAGGTGGAATCGCTGGGAAAATTACGAGAAAGTTGTGAACTTTAGCATGTACCTATAAATTACTCTCCAAAAACCCTCTGGGGGCTGGGGTGTAGCTTAGCGGTAGAGCACTTGCCTAATGTGCATAAAGCCTTGTGTTTGATTTCTTGCACTATACATGCACAAACCCTTAAACAAAACAAAATGAATACTTTCTTTGTTTTTTTGTAGTGCTGGGGATTGAAACCAGGGCCTGAGCTGTATTCTCAGTCCTTCATATTTTCTTTTCTTTCATTTTTTTCCCCTTGACACCAAGTCTTGTTATATAGCCAGGTTGGCTTCAAACTTGTGGCGATCTTCATGCCTCAGCCTCCAAAGAGCAGAGATTACAGTCATGCACCAACACCCCTGGCCAAAACACACATTTTAAAAAAGCAAATAAAAATGCTTTGCCATCCTATAGGATGTTTCCCCAAATTTTCCTCATATCGTCACCAACATCGAGATAATCAGTCTCTTCAGATGTTTGCCAGTCAAGAAGATGCCTCCCTATTTCCATATCCCCACATATGTACTTGCAAAGCTCCTGTCCTGCACCCTGGCCCACTAGTGTAGGGAGTGAGGGTCATGGTGGACAGGCATTCAGTCTGGATGGGACAGCTTTTGGGGAACCACAGGAGGTAGTGGATACAAGGACCAAGAGTGAGGCAGGAAGGACTTTACACCGTTTGGGACCATGGTCTGCTCAGCACCCCAGCTGGGTGATGACTACAGGGGCAGAGCACCTGCAGGAGGTTGGAGGGGGAGGACTTCTACAGCCCGAGCTGCAGCGAGACGGGGTCTTGTCTTGCAGAAAGCCACACAGATCAGCAGCGTGCCCTTCATGGATGAGTCCTCTGGTTCTGATGACGACTGCAGCTCTCAGGCGAGTTTCCGGATGTCTGTGCCCTGCTCTGAGTGCAGGAAGACCAGTGGATTGGGCAGTCCCCGGGCTATCAAGAGAGGTACGAGAAAGGGAGCAGAAGGGGCCTGTTTGATCTGGTGGCAGCATCCCCAGCAGATCTATTCTCAGCCCCAGACTCAGGGATCCCAAGGGTTGGCATTGAAGACCGGCAGCTCCTGGGCAGTGGGTGTTGGGGGAGGGGAGGGACTTGACTCCTTGTCCTCTGGCCAGGGGTCTCCATGTCCTCACTGAGCTCTGAGGGTGACTACGCCATTCCCCCTGACGCCTGCTCACTGGACAGCGACTACTCGGAGCCTGAACACAAAATGCAGCGCACCTCCTGCTACTCTGCTGAGTGGCTGGGCCTGGGCATGGTGAGCAGAGAGCCTGGGTGGGCCCGGATGCATGGTGTTGGTGGAGCAATGGAGGTGGCCCTAGATACAGGCAGACACACACAGGCTCCATGAGGAGCCTGAGGCGGGGCAATGGGCACCCCTGCTAGGGCAGCAGTGAGCTCAGATCTGATTCCACATCACCCCACCGCCCTGCCTTTATCAGCCACTGCAGGAGCCCTTCTGCGGGGCTGGCTGATTGACCCTCATCAGTGGTGCCATCTCTGACTCATCTCTTTCAAGGCCACTTGAAGGCCAGCTCTTCCACACGCAGTCCGGCTGCCGCCGCCTCCTAGTGGCCAGAAATTGTCTTTGCCACCACCACAAGAGCCCTCAGTCCTCAGGGCCTTTAGTCCTCTCTCAACCCTCAGCAGGTGCCCAGAAAATAAGTATACATGATGTCCAGAGTGCCAAGTGACCTCCTCTTGCACCCCTCTTCTTGTGTGCTCCTTCACCCCTCAGGAATCACTGGAGAAGTCGGGTTACCTGCTGAAAATGGGGAGCCGCGTGAAGACGTGGAAGAGACGCTGGTTTGTCCTGAGACAAGGACAGATTATGTACTACAAGTCCCCGGTGGGTCTTACTGAGACTGTGGTCACAGGAGTCGGGGGAGAAGAGGAGGTGGCCTGACAAAGGCCACAGCTCACTGGGGAGAGGCGACTTGACTGGCACCTGGGGCTCTGAGCAACAGGTCCCCGAGACTGCCCACCTGCCAGGCAGCTCTCGGCCAGCTGGCTTAGCAGCTTCTGCGCCCAGAAGCTGGTGTGTTTTCCTCACTCCTTCCTGGCCCCTTCCCTCCCTTCCTCGCCTTCCTCTCTCTCCCTCCTCCTCCCTTATTCCTTTCCTGGGGATCCAACCCAAAGGTACTCTATTATTGAGCTATGTACCAAAGTCCCTTTTATTATTTTTTAATAATCTTATTTATTTTACTTTTTGGTTTGTTTGAGACAGGGTCTTGCCCATGTAGGTCAGGCTGTCCTTGAACTCACTGTGTAGCCCAGGCTGGCCTCGAACTCATTGTGATCCTCCTGCTTCAGCCTCTTCAGTGCTGGGATTATAGGCATGTGCCACCATGCCTGCTTCTCCCGTTTATTTTTTGAGAGAGATATCTCTAAATTGCCCAGGCTGGTACTGAACTTGCAGTCCTTCTGCCTCTAGAGTAGTTGGGATTTCAGGGGTGCACTGTTTTAGGTGGTGCCGAAGCCAGTTTCCCAGGCCTGCTCCCAGGTTGCCTTCACCTCCCACTGATTATTCTGACAAATTTAGTGCCTCCTCTACTTCCTCCTCCTACTGTCTGGAATTATGGAGCATCAGATTTGGAAACTCATTTGTAAGAACCTCCCTAGAGAGCCAATATTAATCTTTTATTATTTGTCCATTTATTAGGGTATTTTGAGACAGGATCTCACTATGCAGTTCAGGGTGGTCTTGATCTTACCACATAGTTCAGGCTGGTCTTAAACTCACTGTAGCACAGGCTGGCCTCAGACTCCCTGTGATCCTCCAGCCTCAGTGTCCTGAGTGCTGGGATTACAGGTGTGCACCACCACACCCAGCTGAGAGCCAATTTTAATGTTGTAAAGAAGGCAAAAAGGACCTCATCTTTTGTGCAACTCGAGCTGGTTGGTGACACCTGTTTCCAACTCCATGTTAAGGATTCTGGGTCTATATTCCTCTATAAGAAGCATGCTGTGATTGATTAGTAATGTCTGCAGTGACACTAGAAAGAATAATAATGGTGATATACAAGCCACTTAGTTGCCATTCTTATTATAAGGATGTAGAAATATTATTTGTTTTGAGATGTCTTACTATGCTGCCCAGGCTGGTCTTAAACTCCTGGGCTCAGCTTCCTGAGCACCTGGGGCTGCAGGCATATATCCATTATGCCTTGATTAGTAGAAACAATGTAAGAACTTGTAGGTCAGTAATAATGTGGTGGCCTTTGACATAACTTGAAAGGCTCATGCTATCCTTTTTGAGACCTGTGTCAGAGGACCCATGATCCTGATTATGGCTCCATTTAGCTAGAGTCAGAATCTAGAATAAGTTACCCATGTGTAGGGAGGGGTGGGGACATGTGGGAATCTTTCCCCTTGGCCTGTGACTCAGTGTAAGATATGAAAGGTAAATAATGTGCTCTGAAAAGCCTCTATAATGCTTTCCTCCCCGTTCCTTTCTTTGCAGAACGATGTTATCCTGAAACCGCAGGGTCAAGTGGACCTCAACTCTCATTGCCAGATTGTTCGAGGGGAGGGCGCGCAGACATTCCAGGTGAGTCTGCTCCTAGCCGCTCAGCTTTGTTTTGGTACTGAGGATGGATCCCAAGGCCTTTGCACTGAGCTACATCTCTAGCCCAACTTTTATTTTCAGACAGGGTCACTAGGTGCTAAGTTGTTCAAGTGAGGCTCCAACTTAGAATCCTCCTGCCTCAACCTCCCATAGTGCTGGGACTACAGCACACATAGCACAGTTGGTGTTTTAGACCAGTTTTTAGACAGCTAAGGTTCCAGTTTCGGACATGACCATGATAAAGACAAAGGTATGGCAAAATGAACATGAATGAAAGCCTTCAAATCGGTAATAGGATGTGACCCTAGATTTTGGGTACAAGAAAGGAGCAGCATGTGAGAAATGGAATGAAACTGAGACAGACAGGATAACAAAGTGGGAAAGATAGGGAGGAAAAGATGAGGAATAACAGGAGGCAGCAATAGACTACACAAAAGGAAGGCCCAAGAGGTTCAGGAACCTGAGCCACCCCGAGAGCCTACCTTGCCATGCTCACTCCAGCGCCTCGTCCTCTCACTGTAGCTCATCTCTGAGAAGAAAACCTACTACCTAATGGCTGACTCGCCCAGCGTGCTGGAGGAGTGGATCCGCGCCCTGCAGAGCCTGCTGAAGGTGCAGGCCACAGGGCCACCAGCCCTGCTTCAAGGGGGCACCAAGCCTGCTGTGAAGGGCTGGCTGACCAAGGTAGAAGTCTGGCTGGGTGGGGAGGAGTGGGGCTGCTGAGTCAGGGGAGCTGGGTGTGGGGTGCCACAAAGTGCTGGGCTCCCCACTTATCCACGGCTGCTGTCCCCAGGAGCTTCCTTGTGGTTGCCACTCAGGAAGGATGATGTGATTCCCCAGAAGCAGCGGTCAGGGTTGTTAGAACAACTGTTCTCAAGATTGGGGGGAAAGATAAGATGGATGTGATCATTATGATCATTACCAGTGAACCTTCTTTTCTTTTTGAGACAGGGTTTCATTATATACAGCTCAGGCTTGCCTTGAGCTCAGTTTATAGTCTAGACTGGCCTTGACCTCATTGTGATTCTCTTGCCTCAGTCTCCCAAATGCTGGGATTATAGGCATGTGCCCCAATAAACTTAATTTTAAAAAGATTAGAATGTTTTACTCACTCTGTGGTTTATTAGGGGTTACCCTGTGCACCCACCATGCCTCAGGATTAGCAGTGGGAAGAAGTGGGCTCTGGCTACCCATTCAAAGAGTCAGAGTATCCTGGATCTGCTCAAAAGCTAGGTTCTCTTCTGGCTGCAGAGAGCAGAGAAGCATTTATTAACCCCATGAAAGGAGACCAGATGCCCTCAAAACCAAAGCTGTGTCTGCTCAGCACGAGAGTGCTCACGGGCCTGTCCTCTCTGCGCCTGCGCCCTTCAGGCCGCTTATGTCAGTCTCTGCCTGTGTGCAGTGTCTGCTCCCTCAGGTCTCTGGTTCCTGGGGCTCCAGCCTGCCACGCCTCTTCCCTGCCTTGTGGTATCCCTATAACTGTGGTCTCTGCCAACCAGCAAGTTCTCTTCACACTCGTATCGCTGTAGGAGACCTCTGATTGTCCAGTTCCTGCTTCAGCATCAGGCCGTAGGTCACTGAGTAGCCCAAGGGTGACAGCAGTGCCACATGGCACATGCCACAGTGCCCTCTGTATGAAAGGGGTTCTAGTGGAGGGAGTCTGAATGACATCTCCACTAGAGACCTGCGTTTGACTGCCTCCCTCTGGCTTTTCTTGGCCAGTCCTGAATTTATTTCCAGGACCTCCTGGTTCCAATAAAGTACGTTCATTTCTGTCTCACAGGTTAAGCATGGCCACTCCAAGCTGGTCTGGTGCGCTCTTGTTGGGAAAACCTTCTACTACTACCGGAGCCACGAGGACAAGGTACTTCCATGAGCTCCCCGCAGTACCCGCTCTCCTGTCTCTCAGACATTACTGTGCTCCTTGTCCCAGCAGCAGAGCCCAGTGTCCCTGCCCCCACCAAGTCCTGCAGCTGCTGTCTGAGCCTGCTGGCTGGGTCTTGCAGAGCATGTGGCCTGTGGGAGCCGTGCTCCTCCAGGCGAGCTGCCTTCCGCGTGCCTCCCCACCTGGCGTCCATTCACCCCCAGAGCTCAGAGCTTCAGAGAAGAGGGGCTTTCCCACCCCTGCTCTCCCATTCATGGAGGGCTTATGTCTGCAGCGACCCCTGGGCTGTCTGCCTGTGGGAGACGCACGCATAGAGGAAGTAGACCGGTCCTGCGACTCAGATGAGGACTATGAAGCTGGAGGAACCAGGCGGCTGCTTTCCTCCCACTGCACGCTGGTGATCCACCCCCCAGAGCACAGCCCCACCTACCTCCTCATTGGCACCAAGCACGAAAAGGTAAGGGAGGGCCCAGGCGTCCTTGTCGGGTTTGGGCCTGTAATTCTGATCTTCCCTTCTCCTTTCCCTGAGCTTCCCCAAACTCGGGCTTATTTCCTGTTTGGACACTTTGGCAATTACTAGTCTCTGAATGGAAATTTCCCTTTCTGTTGAATTCATTCCCAGTGATCATTCCCTCTTCACTGGGGCCATGAGAGAAAACTGCAAACTTGGAGTCCCAGGTTCACAATCACCTCATCCTGAGTCTGTTCCCGTGGAGACCTGTGGCCTTAACTCATGCCACCAAACTAGCTGAGCCCCGTCACGGGAGCGCTCCTTGGAGCTCTTGCTTCTACTCTTCCCACACTACCTGCATCTAGTCTGAGCTTTCTCCCTCTTCCAGGATACGTGGCTCTACCACCTCACGGTGGCTGCGGGTGGCAGCAGTGCCCAAGTGGGCACTGCCTATGAGCAGCTCATTGGGAAACTGATGGATGGCGAGGGAGGAGACCCAGGTAGGGTGAGGGCAGCTGTCACTGTGTGGGGTGCAGGGTGGTGGCTGATTGGTCAAGAACCCTCAAAATGCACTGCTGTACCCCAAAGCTATGGTAAACACATCAAAACCAAAGGGGAGAGCCCACCACACACTGCAGGGCCCCTCAGCGTACTGAGGTAATTATTCTGTCTGGGAAGTAGACTCCTCAGCAACCTGGGTAAATGTTTTGCTCTGTTCAACCTGCAGTTTGCTGCCTGGGCAGAGGATTGAGGAAAGTAGGTGGCTGGTTAATCTGTAGTTAGAGTTTGTTAATCAATAAGTGAAGCCTAAGCTTGGCTCAGGCCAACTTCAGTTTTTGGGGGCCTACAATTTGCCACTGGTTCTCAGGTCCTTCAGCAGCTAAACCAGTGGCCCGTACCATGCACACCCCTTTTCCTTTCTGAGGCTTTTCTGTCTCAGCCCCCTACATGCACTGTCCAGCCTGATCTGACCTGTAAAGAAGAGGCCTCTACAGTGTGTATGCACTGAGACACACCACAGCTTCCTCACTCACGCTGCCACAGCCCTACAGTGAAGTGGTGGCCGCCCTCCTGCCCGGCCGTGCAGCTGCATGTGCTCTGGTCTGAGGAGGATGAAGCTAGCGCAGTCCTAAGCCTCAACCATTGGCTTCCCCACAAACTAAGGTGGGGTGGGGGTGTCGAGGTGAGTTCTCTGCAGTAACCACTGCTGCTTTTTGGCGTTGTGCAGACTCTCCACTTTGGAAGCACCCCATTCTGTGCTACAGCAAAGATGGGCTGTACACCTCCCTCACCACGCTGCCCTCGGAGGCCCTGCAGACGGAGGCTCTCAAGCTCTTCAAGGTAAAGTAGGAGTGGAGCCCAGGCCACAGGCTGGTGATGTCCACTGCACATACCCAGGCTTTGCCTGGAGCAGCCTAAGCCCACTGTGATGATACACAGGTGGACACCACCCTTAGGGTTAGAGTTCACTTGAAGAGGGATCAAGAGAGGGAGGCAGAGGAAGTCCCACAGGATCCCCATGGCTTCCTTTATGGCAAGACCATAAACCTCCTACAGGGAGGGAGGAGATAGTGGGATGCTAGGAAATGCCAGGGAAATCAATCCCTTGGGGCTGCCTGCCTCCTGTAATTAACATAAAAGGCCAGGGTTCCTTTCCTTTTGGGATGCAGAGAGTCTGAGCTATTTGAGAATGTTCTTTGTATGCCATATGAATTTCCTATTTTTAAAAAAATGCTTATATAAACAAGCTTATGTCTTGCTTATGTAATGGAAAGATTCTATCTGAAAGTAGCCCTTTAAAAGCTGCGGAAACATGAATATCATTCATTCCCTGTTGGAAAGAGCTGTCAATTGGTGAACTTGAAGCTCTGCTTGGGGTCCAAGATGTCACTGCAGCATCAGGACAATACCAAAGGGCTGTCGCCTGCCTGTGCCCAATGTCATTCCTCTCCCAGTCCTGCCAGCTCTTCATCAACGTGCCTGTGGAGGCCGCCTCAGTGGATTACCATGTGTCCCTGGCGCAGACGGTGCTGCAGGTCTGCCTTGTTCACCCAGAACTGCAGAGCGAGATCTACTGCCAGCTCATGAAGCAGACCAGCTGCCGCCCACCACAGAAGTACTCTCTCATGCAGGTGGGCAGCCCCCAGAGCAGCACAGCTGAGCAGCTGCCTGTGGCCAGCCTCCGCATTGCACACTGCCTCAGCACGGCCACCTGGCTGGACTCTGTCACACTGTGCAGTTGCCACTGTAGGGATGGCTTTGTCCTGGACTCGCAGGTTGGGGTGTGGTGTGGGGAAGCAGTGCCCACGGCTCTGTAGCCAAGCACTGTGAGGGCAGGGGTGCTGCAGACCCAGTACTCACCTCGTGTCCCCTGGCAGTGCTGGCAGCTCCTGGCTCTGTGCGCGCCCCTTTTCCTGCCTCAGCATCACTTCCTGTGGTATGTCAGACAGCAGCTCCAACGCCACGCGGATCCCAGGTAAATGACCATGTTTCTTCTGCCGCTCCAGCAACGACTGGCATGATGTTAAAAGGGCAGATAAGGGGGAGACTGGATGGAACAGATCACTCCTTCCCTCTGAAATTTGTTTAGTGTTACTCCACCTGTTACTGAAAACCATCAGGCATCTAGAGATCTGGGCACGCCTGGGCGTCTCTGCATACATCTATGTCCGTGGGTAGTTTATGGGGGTCTCATGTGAGCCACACTGCTCCCAAATTATCCCTAAACATTTGCTTTGTTGCCATGCTTTTCTGCTTCTACAAAAAAACATCTTGTAATAACCTGCCACAGACAGGCCTGAGTGACAGCATCCCAGACCAGTGCCTTCGGGCTTGGCTCACAAACTGTCCAGCTACGCTTCTGGTCCTAGATGAGTCTGGGTAGGCATCCCAGATGCCAAAGAGTTATTAGTGAGAATTCTAGTTCCTTTCTTCCTTTCTCTGTCTTTTTTAGAAATGAAACTGGCCAGTATGCCACCTATTGCCAGCGGGCAGTGGAGCGGACCCTACAGACAGGAGAGCGGGAGGCCAGGCCATCCCACATGGAAGTGGTGTCTATCTTGCTGCGAAATCCTTTCCACCACTCCTTGCCCTTCAGCATCCCTGTGCACTTTGCCAACGGGACTTACCAGGTGAGGGGGCTGGGCACACTTCCTGCACGGTCTTCATATATCTCTTTCTAGAGAATACTGCTGGGCCAGGTGGGTGCTTAGCTGCCCTAATAGGCAAACTAACAAAAGAGGTGGGTCTACGATTTGGCATAGGAATGGGGTAGGTAGAGCCAATATATAGGGACAAAAGAAATTAAATCACCCAAGTTCTTGGAAATAGATCTTTGGAACTCATTGCTTAGACGGGAAAGCTGAGACACCAAACAAAAAAGTGGCATAAGAGCTGGGAATATAGCTCAGCAGCACAGTGCTTGCCTGGCAAGCACGAGGTCATGAGTTTGACTGCCAGAACCAAAAAAAAAAAAAAAAAAAGGAAAGCGGCATGAGCCAAAGTCCCCAGGAGAGTGCCCATGGAGGAACCAGCCTTTGCCAAGCTCCTTACACCCTCTGCATAGGGATATGGAACCACCTCAGCTTCCCAGTTCCCCTTGCTTTTTTCCACCTGTGCTATGTAGACCCCCTCGTGAGCCCTCGTAAGCTCCCGGGAAGTTTGCTCTGAGTGAGGACGCCTCTCTCCTGCAGGTGGTTGGTTTTGATGGCTCCTCCACAGTTGACGAATTCCTCCAGCGGCTGAACCAGGAAACAGGCATGAGGAAGTCATCCCACTCTGGCTTTGCCCTCTTCACAGACGACCCTTGCGGCAGGGACCTGGAGCACTGTCTGCAGGGGAGTGTCAAGGTGACAGCTTTCCCACTTTTCAAAAACACTGGTGATGGAGACAGAGCCCCTGCAGTGCGATCCTGACTGTTCAGTAGTCCCCTTGGTGCTGAGCCCAAATGCTGGATAACTATCATGTCAGGGCCATCCTCAAACACAGCTATAAAGGCGAAAAAAAGCAACCTATACACAGAATCCCCACAGCCTCTCTCTCTTCCGTGGCCATGAAACATCCAGGGGAGGAGCCTCTTCTCAGCTTGCTGTAGGGACGGAGAGGCCCATCAAACCTGCACCAGTTGTCTGCCCTCTTATTGGTGATCCCGCTGGATGTTGTGGTGCGCTAGCACCACACTTTTACCCTGTCTGCCAGGGCCTCCACCTTGCTGATAGGTCCAGTCCCATTTTAAAGAGGTAGGTCCTTATGACAGTACATCTGTACGTAAAGTGCCCTGGTGTCACAGGTTTGTGAGATCGTGCTACACCACTCAGTTGGTATTCTTTGGCTCCAGCCCTTCTTTACAGCGGCAGAATAAAGGCATCTAGTCTTCCATCATTGCTTTAAAAAGTGCCACATATATTCTCATAAATGGCCAGGCACCTGTAAGGTTTTGTTACAGGGTAGACCTTTGGATGTACCTGAAGAGGAGAGTAAGGTTGGTAGGTTGGAAATGGAGCCAGGTAGGTAGCCGTGAGTGTTGACTGGAGTCTGCCTAGCTCCAGGGAGATCCCTTGCCCATTAGGGCAGGTGGCAGAGCTTTAAGGAAAGCTTTGCCCCACACTTCTTTGTTTGTGAGTGAGTCAGAGGCACTGTGGATGCTGGCAGGGTGAGGCCCTACACTCCCACAGCTCTGCCTCACCCCAGTTTTGGTTGGATGTTAGTGTTCATGAGGGGATTTTCTCATGTTCCTCTTTTGCCTCTTTAAGATCTGTGATGCCATCTCCAAGTGGGAACAAGCCCTGAAGGAGCTGCACCCTGGGAAGTCTGAGGGGGGGACACGCATCGTGAAGCTGATGTACAAGAACAGGTCCTGAGTGCTGACCAGGGGTGGGTGGACTTGAGGGCTGCCAGCATATCACCTCCCCAGCTGGATGGCCTTTTGGGGACAGGCAGAAAGCTCCTGTCCCCAACCTGTTACAACCCTGCCTGACCGTCATTAGCTGGGGCCTAGGCTGGCGGCTTTCTTCATACTGCATGTGCACAAGTGTGCACATATGGAGACACAGCACGCACACACACACACACACACACACGCACATGCCAGAAAAACACCAACTTCATGGGATAGCTCCAAGTGTTACATTATAGAAATGCAGTTTTATATGAGAACCAGATATTTAAGACTGAAGAATAAATAGCTCCACTACCATATCCAGGAAATACATAAGTAGACATCCTGACTTTCTGTCGTTTTTAGAAAATTCTATTCCAGTATGTCTCTAGGAAAATCCTTCCCATTGGTCTCTTGGATTCTTAACTAACTCCATGTACTACATTTCCCTTGCCAAATCCAGTAAGTCTAATGGTGTATTCAGAATTAACCACTTGTGCTGTGAGTGTTCAGGCTACACGACCTTGCATCTGCCCAGCATCCTACTTGGTTACAGCTTCTGAGGCAATAGAAAATAATCTCACAAATGGTGCGAATAGTAGTTTCCGTTTTGGAAATTAAGATAAATAGATCCATGGGAATGGCAAGAGGGGTTAAAGAGAGGATACAGGAATGGGAGGAAAAAAGTTAAGCAGATCCAGAGAAAGCTTCATTCTCACCGGAGTCCCAAGCTGAGACCTGCTTCTCACTGTTTCTTGCAGGCTGCACTTTCGGAGTCAAATCAAAGGGGAGACAGAGCGAGAACGGCTGCTGCTCACCTACCAAACCAATGGAGAGATAGTGGCAGGGAGGTTTCCAGTCAGCAAGGAACTGGCTCTTGAGATGGCTGGCCTGATGGCCCAGGTAAGGGGACAGGATGGTCAGGACGCCACCTTGGGGCTGCTGGGTGGAATTACTGTACAGCTTGAAAATTCTGCAGATTCTGCAGATCTGAGGCACGCGGGAGTGGTCTGGTATGGAAAGCAACAGACTACACAGCACAGCTTCTCGTCCACTGCAGATCCAGGCTACCTGCAGAAGGCTATCCTGGGAGTCCAAGAGATGGGTTCTAGTCCTAGCTGCTTTGCAGCGAGAGATCTTGGCCAAGTCACCTCACTTGTGTTATCTGTACACTTAAAAGAAAAACACTTCCCTAGCTGCCTCCACAGGGTTGCACTAAGTGTGATTCTTGGCTAATGTATATCTCATGATATATGTGCTAAAATTTTTGAGCCATCCAAAATTATCAGGATTAAAAAGAATATAGTCACACTTTTAGTCTTCCTTGGCTTTGGGAGGCCATCTGGCCTGAGGGATTGGGGATACCTTCATTGTTACTATGAGAAAGAGCCTGGAGCCACATGCGGAAGTGGAAAGGGGAATAACTGTTGACCTTTATAACTATGACCATCCAGATGAATACTCGGCAGCAGAACCTGCAGGGTATTTTAGATGTGTATCCCATATAGTCCTCACCCTCCCGTAATTGAGGAAATGAAGCTCACCAGGCTAGTAAATGGTAAGGCTGGAGTTTGAAGTATCTGATGCCAAACACTGCTGTCCTGTAGGATCTGATCCATAGCATCTTCGGTCTGTAGCCCATATTTTGATTGGAACCCAGAATTTCCACACTGTTTTTCTTCATCTGCCACTAATTGTCCTTGAATAAGACTCTTAACTAGAAAATGGGAGTTCTAGGATCCTATGGCTGTTTCTCTAGTACCTGTGAAATGAATAAAGGGTCACTTCACAGGGTTTTCACATTGTCCACTTATTCCCCACAAGGAAATGATGCGTAGTTTAGTGTACTTCAGCGCTCACCTAGCCCTATCCACCTCCAGACTCTTGATGTCTTTTCATGTGCTTCTCCTGCAGATAGAGTACGGGGACATGGAGAAACCTATCCTGCCAGGCCCTGGGGGCACACATCCTGCCAAGGCTCAGCATCTCCTCCAGCAGGTCCTAGACAGGTTCTACCCAAGGCATTATAGACTCGGTGCCCCTCCCGAACAGCTGAGGTAGGAAGGCTGCAAGGGCTTGCAGGGAGCCACTGTGGAGAGACCTCAGAGCCATAATGAAAGCATGTTGGCCCTTGACCAGCATCATTTCTCTCCATCCACCCAAACCAGGCACCTAACAAGTATGCTGGCCACAAGGTGGGCATCACTGCAAGGCCGTTCCCTGGCTGAGTACACCCGTACCTACTTGACCGTGGCCCGGAAATGGCCTTTGTTTGGTGCTAAGCTCTTTGCTGCTCAGGTAAGTGCCAGTAAAAGGAGCACCAGACACCTTCAAGAGTGCCCAAATAGGTTTTTTCCTGAGCCAGTCCTGCAGCCTGCAGCTCCACCCTCACCATCACTAAGGATCACCATCCCTCCACCTATCTCTAGTTTACTCCTGAGGAGAGGTAGGATTCACTGCTTACCATTTCTTTATTGACTATTCCTGAAAGAGACAGGGTCAACTAATTCACACATAGATCTGAAAATAATACCCCAATGCTGTTTTTGTAAAGTTTGAAAGAACAATTTATAACCTAAATGAATACATCTCTGCTGGTTTACATTGCACATAGGGAGATTAGAACTGCTCAAGTAAGTTAATTTTAATCTCTGCATGAAGGCCAGGCGGCCAACAGTAATTTCAGTTGGAACTTTCCTCACCAGGTGTCTAGTGTGCACAAACTTTATAAGTAACCACAGACCTTATCCTGTGATCAGGGATTGTAATCACAGGCAGTAAGCAGAATATCAGAACATTCACAAACCTACCAATCAGAAAATGGACATTCATTCATCCAACGAATAGTGGTTCAGCTCCTATGTCTAGTGGAGCTCTTATGTCTGTGTCTTTAGGTTATAAAAAGTGGACAAATCATAGTCTTAGTCTTCATGAAGCTTCCCACCTGGTGGGAGATATAAAATAGTCATATACATACTTTCTTTCCACTCACCTACTTACCAGGTCAGCATCCTGGACCACCACACTATGGTATGGGAGGGGAGAGCTGCTTCCAACCCTTCTTCCTTCCAAGCTCTATCTCCTCACATACTTAGTTTTTCTTTCCACTCACCTACTTACCAGGTTTTTTAAAACAAGTGCTCACAAGCACTACAAAGGAAAAGTACAGAGGTGTTATGAAGGCATATAAATGGAGGCGCACTTGGTCTGGGAGGTTGGAAAAAGCATTGGCAAAGGTGACAGCCCCACTGGTCTTTGAGGTAGGAAAGGGAGTTCTGAACTACCCATCTATAGTCATGGCAGTGAAAACATGCATGGAAGTCCACAATATAGTCACAAACTCACGAGTAGAGCCTGATGCCCATAGGTTGCATTTTTTCTTTTTATTTTCATATCCTCTAGGAGGAAAGACTGGGTGAACTATTGTTTGTAACAGCCAGAAGCAGACAGCCCACACAGATAGCAGAGTCCTGGGGAATGGCCTCCATTCTGTAGCCCTTTCCCACCTAATAGGATATGGTCTCTTCCACCTTTGGGATGGTCAATAGGTGACCAGAGCTCCAAGGCCAGATGCTTCCTATCACAGCAACCTTGCCCATTCATTCTGCCCAAGTGCCATTTTTGGTGTCTTCAAAGATGAGGGGGTTGAAAGTCAGTGCTTAACAAGTCCCTGGATGTACCTCACCCTCAGCAAGTACACGTGCTGCAGAGTCTCTGTGGATGTACCTGGTGGGATTCTTCTGTTTCCACAGCCTGCCAAGCTGTTGCCCAAGGAGAACACTCTGGTGTGGATTGCTGTGAATGAAGATGGTGTCAGCATCCTGGACCACCACACTATGGTATGGGAGGGGAGAGCTGCTTCCAACCCTTCTTCCTTCCAAGCTCTATCTCCTCACTGGACTCTAAAAGGCCTGAGCTAGATGACCATGGTTCCCCAACTTCACCCCGAAGCAGTGCTAAATTCCAGTCTAAATGCACCCGGTAGATATTTAAGGTATAGATCTCTAAATCATGACCACTTCGGTTCTACCTTCTGGGCTAAGGCTACCTGTGCCTAGAAGAGGTAGGTGCAGTTTCCCTAGAACTCACTGGCTCCTTTCCACAGCAAGTGCAAGTCACTTACCCCTACTCTTCAGTGACAACCTTTGGTGGCTGCAGGGATGACTTCATGCTTGTGATTAGATCCATTCCAGACCAGAGTTCTGGAAAAGGCCACATCGACAAGTTAATCTTCAGAATGGCTGCTCCCAAGGTGAGTCTGACCACTGGTGGTTTAGGCTGGTGTGATATAAGGGGATGAGCGTGGGACCTAGTGAGGAAACAGTTTATGACAGGACTCTAGAGTAGTCCTGCCCTGGTAGTTTTTGGCCTTATGTGTAATCAGTATTTGAAAGGATCCTGGGAGTGATGCATCTCATTGTCACTGTTGAGCTGGTAGGAAAAGGCAGTGCTGAGAGGGAGTTAACTCCAGTCCAGCCACAACTACGCGCTCGTAATTCTCTGGGGCCCAGTACCATGCAGGCCTGAGCCGGTGGCCACTTGGCTTATTCTCCTGCTGCAGGCCCCGGGGAGGGCAGGTCCTCTTTAAGGTGCTCTCATCTTGTGCTCAGGTGCTGCCGTCAGCACTAGTCAGTCTCCATGGTGCTCCTTCCTCCTTGTGATGAAAACAGCAAAAGACCTCTTTCACTTTAAGGTGTTGTTCCTACTAAGTAGGAGAAACACTGACCGGCAAAAATAACAGTTATAAGGCTCAGAAACACAGGTTATGACTTCCTTTTTCTGGACTGCTTCTGCGTGGAAGCAGAACCCATGTTCTCCACTTTTAATCTGAAGTTGGAGTTTGCAACACTCCTCTTAATACCACCTGTACCAAGGGAGAGGACATAGGACCCCTTCTCCAAGGCACTGTTGCCTGGCAGCAGGGACAGTGAGTAGAACACTGGCCTTCCCTTTCTTTCCCTTTTTTCGGTACTGGGGACTGAACTCATGACCTTGTGCTTACCAGGCAGGTGCTTACACTGCTGAGCTAAATCCTTCTGTTTCTTGGGAGGGTCCTGTTCATCCTAAAGGACCTCCAGATCAACAGAGCCTCATTTCACTGGGCTCCTGAACCTCACCGCATTTTCTCCCAGGAGGGTAGTTTCAGAAAGAACCAAAGCCCAGGAAGGTTATATACCCAGAATAACAGAAGAAAGCCAAGCAAATAAGGCCAGTTCAATTCCTTTATTCTCTGACCTCCTTAGATTGCAGAGGCCACCTTCATCATGGCCAGCTACATGAACCACTGCTCTGTACCTGCAAGCTCGCCTACCAGCCTGCCTGCAGCACGCCCGCTGAGGGAGCTAGACAGACGGCAGTTCTTGGCCCCGGTTTCCTGTGCTGCCAAGGGGCCGACATTGCTGTGAATATCGTTACCTCTTTCCCGACCAGCACTGGTGCCTCTGGGATTAGATTTATATCCTGGGGCTTCACACTACTGTGATGGGTCTGACAGTCCACTTCACCCCCACCCAGCCATTCTCTGACATGCATTTCAGTGTCTGCAAAACCTCTACTCAAGGGCGTGGTGTAATGTATAAGGGCCCATCCTTTACTGGTTCAGACCCAGTGTAAGAACCACTTTGCCTTTTTGTTTGTTTGTTTTAAACAAAAATACTGACTCTGGATGCTATGTGATCCTAGCCACAGACAGGGATGACCCGCTCATACTGAGGGTGGCAGTGCTGTACTTGGGCTTTCTGCACTGATATTCTCAGGGGAGCTAGTATTTTTATATCATTTGGGTCTTATGTGGGGATTTATACTTGAAGTTTCCTATCTATCTCTGTATAGGACAGGACAGCTCCGACAAAAGTATAGAATTCACTAAAACTGGACTTCTTTCCCCACGTGGGAAAGGTGTGGGCAGGAAAGAAGAAAAGGGATAGAGTAATTTTTCCCTTTTATTAGTGAGTAGGCACCTGCAGTGGCCCTTGGGGGCGCAGTTTCAATTCCTGAGCACTGCGCCTGCTCACATTCAAGCTGTCTCCCTTACACTGGAATGGAAGCTGGCCCTGAAAGCACTCGCTCTTCAAGCAAGGACACAGATGGGCCCCAGCCAGCCCCTCTCTGTCTCTTTTAATGCCTAGACAGGGCTCAGTGAAGGCTGTGTCGTTCACTGCTGAAGGACAGGGTACCCATAGTCTCCTGGCTCCCTCAAAGCCTGAGCAAATACCCTCTGCTGCTCTGTGAGGCCAGTGAGGAAGAGCGAGGGACACAGAAGACGACCTCACCCCACCTCACTTGGGGGCTGCATCTGCTCCTCAAGGCTTCTGGTGAACTTCCGGGAATCAGGTGGATGCACAGGTCGTGCGTGTGTGCGTGTGCGTGTGCGTGTGCGTGTGCGTGTGTGTGCGTGCATGTGTGTGTGTGTGTGTGGTACTGGCCCGAGGCTAAGGGTACCATGTGAAAAAAGAAGAAAGTTTCTTTCACCTTTTGCCTGCTTGAGAACATAATGCCCCTCAACTCAGGTCTTCTAGTTGAGTGTGGGAGATGTGATATTTACTCCCCTTCCCCCTCAAAACGAAAGAGTTCATACTCTAGATTTTCCAACATCTCAAAAACTTGAGTTTTGGGGCTGGGGATTTAGCTCAGTGGAATAAGCACCTGCCTTGCAAGCAGGCAGTTGTGAGTTTGATCCCCGGTACCAATAAAAAGGAAAAAGACAAAAAAAAAAAGAAAAGAAAAGAAAAGAAAAAACTTGAGTTTTATTTCATGACTCTAAGGCACTCTTGCCATTGGTTACTTTAGTGCTGAAAACTGAGTTTAGCAGAACACTCAAAAACCAAGCCTTTAACCCCAACAATGTATGTTGCACACTGCAAAATCTGCAAGGTTGAACAACTAGCTCATCAGAACACCTCGGCTGCTGCCAGCATTTCCTCTCTCACCCTTTAAACTGAGGAGCATGCTGAGAAGAGGCTCTGCCTCTGCCTCTTACAGGTGAACTTCACTTTGCAAGGCAGGAGGCTTTATGGCCATCTCTTCCTGCCTTGCCTCCAGGATTTGGGGATCTAGCTAGGACGTTTCTACCTCAAACAAGACACACATAAGCACCATAGACTCCCACGATAAAAGGCAGAGATTACAGCTTTGGTTTCGAATTCCAAGCATCTCTTAGGCCAGCAAGTATATTGTCTACTCAGGAAGTATGTTAGAAATAGGGTCCCAAAGAAAGTAAGCATGGAGCTATGTTTATACTGAATTTTGGGGTCAAACTATTTCTTTCACCATCTCTCCTTCCTGACCCTTCAGGACCTTCTCTTAGTTTATTAATTTTATACAAAAGAAAACTGCCTTAGAAATAAAAAATCCCTACATATCCTTCTTTAACATGGCAGTCCCACATTTGGGAACCTAAGTCAAATTTCTGTCTCATATTTTGTCTCATCCCTCTTGGCAAAGCTGTCTTAAAAGAATAGAAAATGCTGAGTTAAAAAGATCAGTGTACTTGATGCTCATAACTGAAATGCCATGACCATGTTTGTCAATAAAAAGCAGCCATCTGTGAACAAAACAATTACTGTGAATGTTTTAGAATGAGTTGTTTATTACAGGAGTCATGATGGGTCAACCCTGTACAAGAGCTAAGTAGACACAGACTAGTATTTTGTAGACATTTATTCCTTCTAACCTGTACCTAAAAAGCTTAACTTTCTTCTTCTTAACTTTTATACAGGGGTACTATGCAAATCTTTCTCTTACTATCTACTATTGGTTTCCTAATGTAATTTCAACACAAAGTAAATTTGTGCTTAGGAATTTCACAAGGTACTCTTAGCTGATGTTGCTTTTTTATTTCTTGGAGACAAAATACCACTATGCAATTCAAGCTGGCCTTGAACTCACTTTGTAGCCCAGCTGGCCTCAGATTCACAGTGATTCTCCTGCCTCAGCCCCCCATGTTGGAATTACTGGCATGTGCCCCCACACTGCCAAGGGTGATGTTACTTTTGATAGATTGTCTCTAAATTCTTAAGGTGGTTCCTTTTTTAGTAAAGTAAGCAAAACTTTATAAGAGGAATATTACAATACAGAAATATTTCCAGTCACCTGCTGAATGGTGAGCTGAGATCCATTGAATCCATTCTGGTTCTAGGACTGTGTCCACCTGGTGGTTTGCAGTAGGAAAAAGTCAGCCACTAGAGCGTAGGGGCCATCTCCCCTGGAAGACATTACTGGCCTTCTGAATGCTGGAAACTCATGACCTTGTTGTTGTGGCTTTCTGATGCGCCAGAACTTCCTGGCAGCTCTTGTACACCTCAATTAAGCAGTCCAGCCGGGGCTTGGCACTCTAAATTCCAAACGGGAGAAATGCAGAGTCAAGGCGAACCTGAGAGTTTGATGCTGCATCTATGTGCACCCTCATTCTGTCACCCACATCAGGATCTAAGTAGTGCCAGCATGAGCTCAGAGGTGAAGTTTAAGCCTCAGAGCATCTTGTTACGTGACTCTCACCTAAACCCATCCTGTGAACTCTGCAAAGGAGGAGCTCAAAAGGGAGCTTTTTTTTTTTTGGTCTTTTTGAGACAGGGTCTCATTATGCAGTTCAGACTGGCCTGGCACTCACTTTGTAGCCCAGACTGGTCTTGAACTTGTAATAATCCTCCTGCCTCAGCCTCCCCAAGTGCTGGGATTACAGGAGTGTGCCACCACGCCCAGCTAAAAATGGTAACTTTTTAATTTGTCTAAATTTTATGACAGCAAAAGGAATAACGGATGCTGTCAAGAGGTGTGCCGGTCATAAAGCAGACCTAAAGCAGACCCATAAAGAGACAAGTCAATGCAGTTTAATATATAAATTCTGCGAATTTTTTGTATTACAAAATGCAATGAAACCAAAATTAAAAACCACAGAATAGGAGAATTATATGCAAATATATTTAATAAAACTTTCTTACTCAAAATATACAAGAATTGTTACATGCATCAATATCTAGATTCCACTTGACAAAAGAGATAGTTTAGAATAAGAGGAAATGAGAGGTGATATATATAAGGAAATACAAAAAGCCTATCACAGAGATACAAATTTAATAATTACAAAATGCCTTTTTGCAGATAGCACAGAATGTAGACAGAAAATAGCATATAGAAAAACTACATATTCTGGTGGTTCAGTCTTTAACACAAAATCTATAAAACTTTAAGGTTTGATAAAACAGTTCTTAACTATAATGCAAAGTGTTAATTTTAGTTGAGATGCCTTAAAACTTGTGAAAAAGAAAAGGCAGTATGGTAGAGCTAACTAAATATTATGAAGTAATTTATGATAAGCAGATTTGTATGGTGTTTGTAAGAGTAAACAATGACCTGGAGCTAATTTTAAAAGCTAGTGCTTGCTTTAGCAGTACACATACTAAAACTGAAACAATTTAAAAGGCGAGCAGTGTATAATGGCTTTGTACAAAGATGCTTACAAAGACACAGCAATGCATGGTGGTGCACACCTGTAACCCCAGGGCTCTTAAGAGGTTGAGGCAGATAGAACACAGGTTCAATCCCAGCCTGGGTAACTTAGCAGTTTAGCAACTTTCTCAAAAACAAACAAACAAACAAAAAAAACTGGCTGGGAATATAGCTTGGTGCCAAGGCCCTAGGGTCAATCCAGTACCACCACCACCACCACCCCACACACAATAATAATAGCATATGTACCTCAATAACTTTTCTTTGGTGCTGGAAATTGAAGTCATGACCTCACTCTTGCCAGGTAGGTGCTGTGCCACTGAGATATATCCCCAGCCCATTTTGTCTTTTTGAGACAGGGTCTCACTATGCAGTTCAGGCTGGTCTTGAACTTGCAGTGACCCTCCTGCCTCAGCCTCCCAAGCACTGGGATTACAGGCATGCGCCACCACACCTAACTCATTAACTTCTAAGTGCAACTGTGTATTAGTAGACTGAGAGTCAAATAAATGAATGGCACTTTGTAGACAGAAACAATGGTTTATAGGCAGGAGTTGCTGAATGTTTGACTTTTTTCTCCAAAATTTGCATCAATTCCTAATTTTATCAATTGGTTGTGGTATTTGGATTAAACCCAGAGCCTGTTACTGAACTGTACGCTTGGCCCTTTTTTTTTTTTTTTTTTTAATTTTGAGACAAAATATCATTAAGTTGCTACAGTGCCCAAATTAGGCTTGAGCTTTCAATTTTCCTGTCTCCGCCTCCTAGAATGCAGAGATTATAGGTATGTACCATCATACCCTGCTGAATTCCTAATATTTTCAAAAGCACATCTTTGTCTCAGATAGGCTGAAATAACTAAAATCCTAATTCCCACTAAAATTAGTGGACAAGCATCTTCAGACATCCTGAGAACAGTAGTCTGTTCCTATAAGTGGCACCAGACATGCAGAAAAAGGAAAAGACAAGATTTGATGAGAAAGGAAAACTGTTCTGTGCTCACCTGGAAGACAGGTACTACTTGAGATATCTTCTGTGGTTCCCGTGGATCCTTCAGTAAAATACAGAGGTAGTAAATCACCTTCTGCTGTAAGAAAAGAAGCCAAGTAAGTGAAGCCTCTGGTGTGGATTGAACCCAGAGCCTCTATGCTGAGTTACATCTCCATTCTTTTCTATATTTCATTTTTCAGACATGGTCCTGCTAAGTCACTACAGTTACCCAAGCTGGCCTCCAAATTGGAATCCCCTGCTTCAGCCTCCCAGAGAGCTAGGATTTCAGGCATGCACCATCATACCATTTCATTTTGTGTTCTTTTTACTTCAGTGGAACCCTAAAAACTTTTTATAAATAGTTGTCTAGGTAATATAATACTTGATGGCTTTTTTTTTTTTTTTTGTCTTTTCCGTTTTTATCGGTACCGGGGATCAAACTCATGACCGCACACTTGCAAGGCAGGTGCTTATGCGGCTGAGCTAAATCCCCAGCCCCAATACTTGATAGCTCTTGAAGTGAGGGAGAAGTATAATTCTATAAATACAAAAAATTAAAAGGTCCTTTCCACAATGGCAAAACTAAAGAGTTGTGGCCCTGCTGAGGATGTCTGATCTGTCTCCTTCAGTATCTCTCAGCCCCTTTTACCCACCTCCAAACCCCTCATAAAATGATCTGACCAACCTCCAAAAGACTGGGTACATCAGCATGTATCTGTAGTCTCTGCTACTCAGGAGACTGAGGCAGGAGGATTGCTCGAACCTAGGTATTAGAGGCCAATCTGGGCAACAGAGTGAAACCCTGTCTTCTAAAAAAAAAGGCGGGGTGTGGGGGGTGATTTTGACAGTAGGCTAGAAGAAAATTTGAAATCCTAGCTTCCTATTCATAAAAATCTACTGTCTCTCTCTAAAAATAGTAAAGCTGCATATTTATCAACAACACACAACAACAGTCCTATAAAGTCATAGAACAGCAAAATCCTTACTGTCTAATGACATCATGTCACAATGCAATGTCTCTCCTGCATGTCTGTGGTGATGTTAGAGAAACTACTGTGCTGCCAGTCATCTAAATATGAAAAGAACTAATGCTCACTGATAATAAACAAGTTACTGGTTTCTTATATACTACATAAAGGAAATTTTAAAACAACCTGACACTATATTAAGAGCAGGAAGGACAGGCCTAGCCCACTTAGACTCAGGTAGTTTTGAGATCCTCCATGCCAGCTACAACTTGTTTTTTTTTAAATAATTTTTTTTTGTCTTTTTCATTTTTATTGGTACCGGGGATCGAACTCATGACCACACACTTGCAAGGCAGGCACTTATGCCGCTGAGCTAAATCCCCCGCCCCCACGCCAGCTACAACTTGTAAGACAGCCATAATTCAGCCAGAAAGTATATTTTGTGTGAACTTGCTTCAAGGACAGACTGGCTCAGTTAAAGACAATGTTGATGGGCCGGGGATGTAGCTCCGTGGCACAGTGCCTACCTACCAGATGCAAGGTTGTGAACTTGATTCCTGGTACCGTAACAGAAAATCAAACAAAAAAAGGAAATGACTGATTCTACTTGCTCACTCAAGTCCCTAACCTTCCTCTGCATACCCCTTCAGCCCAGAATAGTTCTGCCTGACAACACATGACACACAGCCTGTGTAAACAATTGTAAAGTAACCTGCTATTAGCCTTTTGTACTTCCTGCCTAAAATGTATACAAGTGTCTATTTAACCCCACTGTGGGGCTAATGGTTTGGAACTCAGTTTCCCCCAGCCTGTGAACGTAATAAAGAGTTGTCATCCAACTCCTTGGTGCCTGTGTGTCTTCCATTCAACCTGGTCCTGATTTTTTCAATAACTATATTCTATTACTTATTATTGTTAATTTAGAATACAGGCAGCAGCTTTCCAGCCACAGCTTACCCTAAGTTACTCCATTTTGAGTATAAATGCTAAGATAAGTGACCTTGCAAATACCACCATTTGCAAAGCATAACCATAAAGCACAGATTCATGCTAATAAAAAATTATTAGCTGGGTGCGATAGTGTGTTCATGTAATCTCAGCACTTGGAGGCTATGAAGATCACAAATTGGAAGCCAGTATGGGCTATATAGCAAGTTCTTACTAGTAATCCTTGTGTTAAAAAGTTTTTAAAAAGCCAGGCGTGGTGGTGCACGCCTGCAATCCAGCACTTGGGAGGCTGAGGCAGGGGCGGACTGTGGCAAATTAGAGACCAGCCTGGGCTACAAAGTGAGCCCAAGGCCAGCCTGAACTGCATAGCAAGACCCTGTCTCAAAAAGACCCCCCCCCAAAAAAAAAAGTTTTAAAAACATGTTGGTTGTAACACATTCATGTAATCCCAGTACTTTGGGAAGATGAGGCAGAAGGATCACAAGTTTGAGCCCAACCTGGGCAGCTTAGTAGCCTGGCAAGATCCTGCTTCAAAAGAGTAAAAATTAAAAAGGACTGAGAACGTAGCTCAGGGTGAAGGCTTTGGGTTCAATCACCCGTATTGGGGGGGGGGGAACGGACCACGTGTGAACTTACTAAGGTAAATCAGAGACACATAAGACACAGGGCTTATTGTAGTGTTATAGGCAGCGAGTTAGAAATATTATAGGGCAGTCAGACAAGGCCAGCCCCTCAAGGAAGCCATCACAGAGGACCAGTTACCTTGTGACCTTGAAGGAGACAGACACCACCTGCTGTGTGTCAAATCTCAAGACAAAAGACAAAAGGAATGCGACCACACCCCAAGTATTGATATTCTAAATAGGTATGGATCTCCTTAAGGAACCAGGAGCCACCATCCCAAGCCCCTACAGGGACAGCCACTGATCCATAAGAATGCCCACTTACTAAGTGATTCGCTTTCCCATTGGTCTTTGATTTGGTCAGTTTTACCTGAACAATTAATCTTACTGGTTGGCCATAGTTCTGTCCCACCTCCTGCCCATCGGCCTTGTGAATTCCCAGTTTTCCCCATCTTGAACCCATCTTACCTCATGGTTTTACTCTGTAAAAGTCCCTAGAAAAGACAGAATCTTTGGCAACCCACTCATGACCTCTTCTGTCTCTCTCTCAGGCAGAAGCATTCTTTCTCTCAATACTGCTCTTAACCTCCAATGTTCCTAAAATTCATTCTTTCATTTTAGAGAACACAAACTCATACTGGACATCTAGTAAGCTGGGAGTTTCGTTCCCTTATATCAGCATCACATCACAAACACTTGGTCAACAACTTTATCAAACATATCAGACCAACAAATGATGCAGCCACCTCAATCCAACAGGTCTAAACTATATAACATGGCACACTGACCCACCACTTGGTATACACATATGGCCCCTGCCTGGGGCCACAACCAGAAATGGCCTCAGCTCAGGGCAGTTCCTCCTTGCCCTTAGACACTGCTCACTTCAAAGCTATCAGACCATTTACTTTGACAGCTCCACCACTGAGTTATTAAGCAGTACCCCACCACCTCCATTGACTCTCACATTTATAACTCTTTGCCTTTGCTCTCTCCATGCCTCTTTAAATCCCACAGCCTCTTTATTCTTTTGTTTCTATAACTTAAGCATTACCATATTACAGGTAACTAAGATAGGTAGAAATGTTATAGGCAGTCAGACAGGGCTGGGTCCTCAAGAAGTTAATGCAGAGGACAACTGTGGTTGGAGGGCAGGCTTCAAAAAAAGACTGTTCACTCATACACTTCCTGAGGGATGAACAGCAGTGATTCATACTCTAGGGAGGCATCAGTTGCCTTGAAGTGGAGGACCAAACTGAAAGAGTTTTGGCCCAGACAGGATACTGTAGCTGGTAAAGCCTCAGGCGGAACCAAGGAGCTCCATCTCCCCAACCCCTAAGAATTTACCTGTGGCCCTATCTTCTCCACCCCTAGGAATTTGCCCTTGGCGCCAAACAAGTGCCAATGGGCTACCTGTGCATCCCTAACGCCCCCTCAGGCTCCACCCCAAACCTAAGCTACATGTATGCCTCCACTCCACGTGTCCCACGGAGAGATCGCCAACCTCGGGGGGAGATGCTGCACCCCAGGGGCTCAGGAAGGTCTCTCCCCGCATTCTTAAAATAAAGGTCATTTATATTTCATACTTTTTATCTTTTCACCCACCACCCCCACAATTCTATTATATGTTTCCCTGACTGGGAACAGCAGACGAGAGACTCTCCTGGGGCCCTCCCAGTCTGGGAGGCCGTTTCGCAGACCAGACTGCATCCTGCATTAATTCCTCATTTCTACACTCAAGAGCTGTAAACTTGTCGCTGCTGGTTCGCAAACAACACCAGCCCAATTTACCACAGGTGAGCAACCTCTGGAGTTTGCAGCTGGGCCAGGCCCCATGCGAGTTTTCTTCCCCTTTCCATGGGTTCACGTGACGCTCTCACGTCCTTAGATAGCCCAAGGCAGAGTTTTTTTGGACCAACCTGGGTTCACACTGAGGAACCCTCACGTTCTTCAGAGCTTTTTAAGTTCTCACAGGCAGAGCCATTACTAAACTGCACGAAAAAAATCCACTCAGATATATACTGGTGACGGCCGATTATTACGAGCTTTGGAACCAAAACACCGATCGGTCTAAAACAAGTAGAAGTGATGACTTAAACTTAGTAGATCACGGTCTGTTGCCTATCTGGCTATTACTCCATGGGCCAGACCCCACACCAGATTTTATCTTGGGGACCACTTCCTGTCCCCCCCCCAAAAAACCCCATACCGATCTATGGCTTATCACACTGACGACAAGTTTACAAAACTCTCTATCTTTAAGCCTTTGTTTTGGGAATGTGTGTCCTTTCCTGCCAGTGTCCCCTTTTGTTTCCTTGCCACCTTCCCCCCACCCCCGCCATGCATGCCAACCCATTCCCTGCCGAGATGGGAGAGGTGTGCCCAAACAATGTTGACAGATACGCTCGGGCTGCTTTCGGCTTTCATGCTGCACCCTAACTCTGGGCGGTGTCTCGCCTCTCATGCTGTACTCCAGCTCTGCACGGGATTGGCTCTAACGCCACGCCCTAACCCGTGCGCCCCACGAGCAGTTCTGGCTCCACGAGGCGGCTCAGCTCCTTGTCTGACTAGCTACCCGCTGCACTTCCACGAGCAGCCCCAGCTTCACATGGTAGCCCAGCCCCCACGCAGGGTCCTGGCTTCACGCTGCATCTCAACTCTGCCCCCCAGTGCGTCATGCGCCCGCCAACCCAGCCCACTCGGCTTACACCACCCCCGCCTTGCACGTGTTTCCAGGGCAGTTCCAGCCCGCCCCGTGCCCTACGTCTCAGCGCTCGCCCGGCCTTCACTCTGTATGCACTGCCCCCATGCTAGATATGCTCTGCCCCCGTGCTGGACCAGTCTCCACCCCCAAAATACAAGCACTGCTCTGACCACAAACACAGATAAACAGCAGCTCAACAGCTCGGCTCAGAGATCTTATTTCTTGGTCCACAAATAAGCTGGCAATAGACAAGACTTTGGCTGATAAATGGCAAAGTGGCCACCCGGTAATTTTACCAGCCTTGTTTATCAATTAAAGCCTTCATTAATCTCCATAGCGTTATATGAGATACCTCAACTAAAGTTATATGACTAAGACAATTCATAATTGCTGATCTGATGGTAAAATTAAAAAAATAATTATAAATTCCTTTTGCTGGGACTACTAACTCTTTTCCAAAACAAGGGTTACATGATATATGCAAACAAGACCAACACTGGATTCTGTAAGAACATGGCGGATAGATAGCAGCAGCCTCTGAGGCTCTCGGAGAAACCGCACTTGAAATATAGGAATGGTGCCAGACAGGAAGTTCCAGGCAAGAGGGGATATTCTTTTTTTTTTTTGGCTTTTTCGTTTTTATCGGTACCGGGGATCGAACTCATGACTGCCTGCTTCCAAGGCAGGTGCTTATGCCGCTGAGCTAAACCTCCAGCCCCCTAGAGGGGATATTCTTTGCTTACCCAGGAACGAACTAAATTAAGAGAAACTATCTGGAAATGCAATCCTGGTGAGACAGGAGGCACAGATAAGGTATCAGCACGGAAGCTGGACCCACGCCACTGGAAACTGCGATTTGAATTACCTGCAGCCGCTGTTGCGTCCTGGTCGGCACAGCAGGGAGAGAGGCGGGAAAGCTCAGAGAGTGGGAAGTGTTGAAAGGAGTTGGGAGCAGGACTGAGCTGGTGCCCTGCATCGACTTGCGGTGAGTGAGCGAGCAAATCAGACCCTTACATAGAGAAGGAGGCTTCAGTGGAGGACATACTCGGACCAGGCAGACTTTCCGGAATGAGAAGCTGCAGTGACTTTAGTCACATATCCCCCTCTCAAGGGGGATTGGTGGGGAGTGCCTGGCCTGTGAGACGCCGCTGGCTGAGACCCAATAGGCTAGCCCAACTCAGGTCCCCTGAAGGTGCACCCTACAGGTGAAGCCTTGGGGGTAAGTTGACCTGGAGGGGCAGGCCCAGCAGAGGCTGCCTAGGTCTGTGTCTCCCTAATACACTGCAGTGGGCGGGAACACCTAGCAGGCAATTCAAACAGACTGTGGCCGACAGGGAAGGAAGCTGGGCCTCCTATATGTGCTTAAATATAAGGAACAAAGAATATGGGAAGAGGGAGCAACAAGAAAGGGTCCTCGGCCCCCAATCCTGAGAAACACGCAATAGTAGACATAGCACCAAGAGATATAAAGCGCTATCTCCAGAGCCTCATAGATGAGTTCAGGAATGAAGTTATTAATGACCTGAAGCAAGACATAAGCAGAATAGTTAGAGAAATGCTAAGCACCACCCAAGAAAAAACAGATGGTGGAATGGAAGAACAGAAAAAAAGGGGAGAATTGTTTGATGAAGAAAATAGAGAAAACATAGACTACGTGAAGCAGGTTCAAAGAGATTACCAGGAAACTAAAAACTCTATCGGAAACTGGCATAAGAGCTTGAAAGAAACTAAGGACAGATTATCTGAACTGGAGGGCAGATTTGTAATATGGGAGCATGAAATGAAAAACTTCTTAAAAATAACAAAAAAACAAACAGCAACAATACAAAAACTAGAAGATGATAAGAGGATCTATAACTTAAGGATTAAGAACATAAGAGAAGAAGTGGGGAACAAACAAATGGACTACAAAAGCTATTCACAGAAATAATTCAAGAGAATTTCCCTAATTTGGCAAATGGTAAAGATATTCAGATATATGAGGCATACAGGACCCCAGCAACCTACAACCCAAACAGAGCTACATCCAGGCATATAATAATCAAAATTCCAGAAATCCAATATAAGAACAGAATATTAAAAGCCGTCAGAGACAAGAAACAGATCACTTACAAGGGAACACCCATCAGAATTACAGCAGACTTCTCGGCACAAACCATCAAATCACGAAGAGCATGGGGGGAAATAATTCAAGCTTTGAAAGATAATAACCTCCAGCCAAGATTGATATATCCTGCACAACTGTCCCTAGAAATTGATGGAAAAACAAAGTGCTTCCAGGATAAAGAGGAACTAGGGGAATTTGCAACCACTAATTCAACTCTACAGAGAATACTGCAGGATAGTCTAAAAAAAGAAAATACCAAGATTCCAGAAATAGTGGCTGAGAGGCCACAATGAATGGAACAGAAAACGAAATGAAGAATGACAAACTGACAACAAACGACAGAAAAAGAGCTCAACAGAAATGAGGCAGAGAAGATCGGATGGTAGATACAGCAATTTTGGAGAAAACAAGACATCATAATAGCTAGCGCTGATTTAGTATCATCTTGTTTTGAAGTCCCATCAAACGTGTATTCTTCAGTCTCCATTGGTCTTAAAAGGTTTTATCTTATTGGATTTTATTATATACGATAATATAAGCAAAAACTTTTATAGACAAGGAGTTTATATAGAAACCATTGTTCATTTTCTGTCAATTGGTTCTAAATACTCTGTAATAATGTCATTCTCTTGAATGGTTTTATAGTGTCATGATATGTTTGGTGCTACAGTATAAGAAGTTATACTCAAAGATTTCAAGGAAAGAGACACTATGGTAACTATTTTTATGTCAGGATATCTTGTGGTGAAACACTGGTTTGCTTAAATGGTTATGATTTGACCTGCGCTGTTCTGTTGTTATGCCCTCTTTTATCTCAACCCCCCCCCTTTTTAAATTATTTACTTTTTTCTTTTTATTTTTTTTAATTAAGGGAAAAATAAAAAATAGCAGGATATAGTATAGTAACCTACTTTGATTTCCTATTAACATGATTTGAAATCCTGTATTGCCCTCACCATCTTGTTTTGACTGATTTCCCGCTATTCTGCTTTGCTTGATAGTACCAAGATCGAAAGTATAGGCATAACTGTGAACACAATAAGAATCATTAATGACACCCATTCTGATTGACTATTATTTTCTTTTAAAATCCTGTAATGTCTCCAATGCTTTGGTTTTATTCTTTACTGTTTAGTTCAATTTTATTATAACTGCCAATTCTTCTTAAAATAGCAAGAGGCAGTATGGCAGTGTTGATCACCTTATATATTTTTTTTATAATTTTTTTTGGTCTTTTTCCTTTTTATCAGTACCAGGAATCGAACTCACGACTGCCTGCTTACAAGGCAGGCGCTTATGTTGCTGAGCTAAATCCCCAGCCCCTCACCTTATATTTTGTTTTTACACTATCTATTATGTCCATCCTTTTAAATTGACTGACTCTGTTCTGATATGTCGCATTTGGTTTTACTCTCTTCAAAAAAAAAAATAAGAACTGTGGGAGTAGTAAAACCCAAAATGTGTAACTGTCATTCTACAAAAAAAAAAAAAAAAAAAAAAAAGAAAAGAAAAGAAAATGCTCTAAAGGTTATAACTGCATATATGTTTAAGTGTATAAGATAGATAACCATATTACTGAGTGTTTTTTTGGATCATTGAACAAAACTATTTGCACTCTCACTGTTTGAAAGTTCACTTTATGTGATTCAATTTTGTAACTTGAACAACTATTTCTAAGATGAGAATATGTAATCTATTAACTAGTGATTTCTTACTGTTTGTTTTTTAAATTTTATATTACATGTACCCTTTTTCTGTTTTTTTTTTTTTTTTTTTTTTCTCCTTAAATTAAAAAAAAAAAAAAAAAAACAAAAAAACAAGACCCACACTGCGGAAGAAGCCAACTTAAACCTTTCCCAGCCTGTCTGCCTGCCCTGGCTCAGTCCACCGAGCCATAATTACCTATACTCAACTGATATTAAATAACATTGTAGCTGATTTCTCTCCTAAATAAAAAGGTAAAAATTAATAAAACAGGCCATCCTCCAAAAATCAGATGGTATTAGATATTTTAACAACATAAAGGGATACTTATATATGACATAAATGACATGTCAGTTCCTAAAATTCTCTGGACCTTGTCCTCCTTATGAGAAGCCATTACTAAAGTCATAAATACCCTGTTGATTATATTTGACTCCTGCATACTTCCTTAGTTCTACAGATATCTTCTACTGTAGACCAAATCCCAAACAAAAAGGCAAAACTTGATCTTCAAACTCCACAGAGACCACCTTAATATGGCTTTTCATGTTTTTAACAACAGAGATAACAATAACACTTGTGACACTTGGAGTTCTGAGACAGGTAAACCGACACAAGGTGGAGCTGCCTGCCCCCCACCCCACGAACCATGCCTCAAATGTAGCAGAAGACATTGGGTAAGAGAGTGCCCCATCCTGGTGTTCCTTTGGGATCTTACAGGCTACTGGACTGTCCTAGCCACCAGAGAGTGGCTAAGCCATCCTAACTTCTAGCCCTCACAGGAAATGCCAACACTGCCAGATTCATCGCTGACAGATCTGCTTAAACTTGCTGCTGAAGACTGATGGTGCTCAGGGCCAACAACAGCCCCCATTAAGGTGCCCATCTCAGAGTCCAAGTCCCACTAAAAGTCTCAGGTAAGACATTCTCTATACTTGTGGGCATAGAGGCCATATATACAGAGTTCTTCCTGAGTTTTCAGGCTGCTATATTAAGTCTTCAATCTCTATAAGGGGATATTGAGGGTCAACCTATGCCATTTACAAACAGGGCCTATTTCGTGCAGGTTCCAGACTGCTTCTTCCCAGTCCATCCGGTGGTGCCAAATCTTCCCTCCACCACTCCCTCTACAGTCCTAAATCTTAAAAATGCTTTTTATTCCCTTGTGTTTATACAGGCTGGCCCAGACACTGAGGCCTCAACAGCTTACACCTGTTACTGCTAGTAAACCTCTCCTCAGTGATATAAACCACCCCCTTCCTTTCTTATTCACCAATTTCTCAGATAACCCTGGTCAAGACTGACAGATACATTTTGTCTTCTCACTTTGTTTATACTTTTTCAGGATACATAAAAGCTTTTCTCACAACCAGGGAAACTGCTGATATACTTGCAAAATTCTGTTGCAGCAAATCATTCCAAGGACTACAACCAAGTTACAGTGACCCATACCTGATATTCTTGGTAACCTCAACAGCAATCAAATTTGCTAGACTGCCATTCTGGTTTTGCATCACTCAGGCCCTAGATCTGACCATCCTTTTCCTACTCATCTCTGCCTTACCAAGGCCTCACGGCCACAACTCACAGGTTGTCATGTTTTGTTATCCACTTTGGTTCCCAATTTCTAACGTTCTATTAATGATCATTTTTACAGCAGGACTCTTGACAGTCTTTCCTAAAGACTCCCACATCATGTGTAAGATAATCTTCATAATGTTCTATATGATAACAGTTGCAGTTCTTTCTACCCTCAGCTGTCTGGTTAAACGTGACATCCCTGAAAGCCTAAGCCCTTACCTCCCCTATACTGGTACAGCCACTACCTTCCCTGCTCCCCCTATTTTTTCCAGTTCAACTCCTGGACTGGAGATAAGTTTTATACACCTACCCTCTTAACTTTTATGCTTTCAGATGAGGGAGTAATCACCTCTCATAACATCATTTCTCCTAACCTCACACTTAATTTTTAGAATTCTGCCTTACTGTGGAACATGTCTAAATCAAAGGCACCTTTCCCTCTACCTCACCTGGGTCCTTAAATATGACAGTGCCATGTCTCCTCATAACATCTTGTCTCTTTATTTTTCCAGTCTAACATATGTGCATTCACCAGTGAAGTTGTCCTGGCTAAAACACCTGGCACCAGCGTCTACCTGGGCATCAACCTTCATCCCGTCGACTCCCCTAGGCTCCCGTATAGCGCCCTCTGCCAGCAGGAAATAAAGAGGGAAATCTTTGCCCCTTTTCATAATCATAAGACGGAATATGAAAGGGTTTTGGCCCAGACAGAACTCTGTAGCCAGGAAAGCCTCAACTGGAACCAGAAAGCTCCTATCTCCCCCACCCCTAAGAATTTACCTGTGATGCCATCTTCCCGCCCCTGAGAATTTACCTATGGCGCCAAACCTAGGACCAATGGGCTACCTGTGCATTCCTAATGCCCCCCCTTAGGTTCCACTCCAAACCGAGGCTACTTACATACCCCCACGCCACGTGTCTGCCAGAGAGATCGCCAGATGCCAGCAGTGGGGGGTGCCGGTCATCTCTCTCCGCGTTCTCAGAATAAAGGTCGCTTTTTGTTTTATACTTCTCATCTTTTGGAAATATTTTTCATCTTTTGGAAATAATCCTATCACTTTTCCTTCTGCCTCACCTGGGTCCTTAAATATGACAGTGCCATGCCTCCTCATAACATCTTGTCTCTTTGTTTTTCCAGTCTAACATACATGCATTGACCAATAATAAAGTTGTCCTGGCTAAAACACCTGGCACCAGCTTCTACATGGACATCAACAGTCATCCCGTTGACTCCCCTAGACCCCAGTACAGCGCCCCCTTCCAGCTGGAAGCAGCAAAAAAAAAAAAATCTTCGCCCCTTTTCCTGATAATAATAATCATAAGGCGGGGTATGAAAGAGTTTTGGCTCAGACAGGACACTGTAGCCAGTAAAGCCTCAGGCAGAACCAAGGAGCTCCATCTCCCCCACCCTTAGGAGTTTACCTGTGGCCCTACCTTCCCCACCCCTAGGAATTTGCCCTTGGCACCAAACAAGTGCCAATGGGCTACCTGTGCATCCCTAATGACCCCTCAGGCTCCACCCCAAACCTAAGCCACATGTATGCCTCCAGTCCACGTGTCCCACGGAGAGATCGCCGGCCCCGGGGTGGAGGGGGAGATGCTGCATCCCAGGGGTTCCAAGGGTTTCTCCCTGCATTCTTTTTTTTTTTTAAATCAGTACCGGGGATCGAACTCACGACTGCCTGCTTGCAAAGCAGGCGCTTATGCCACTGAGCTAAATCCCCAGCCCTCTCCCTGCATTCTTAAAATAAAGGTCATTTATATTTCATATTTCTTATCTTTTCAGCCGCCACCCCCACAATTCTATCACAAACCTCCTTAACCCACCCCTTCCAGGCAAGTCCTGGTCCACCCCATGTGTGCTTCCAACATGACTTGCTTCCCAATTTGACCTCAATTTAGTCAGTATTACCTGCTGTACCCTAGCAAAAAGAGCTTCGTTATACCAAAATACCTGCAACGTGGCTGTTCTGTATGCATTTTTTCCCCTCTGGGTGACCTAATTGATATGTTAATCAATGCTCTCCTCTGTAAAGAATTGTGAATCCTTAGGAATCTAACTTAATTGCTATATTAACCATTGTTGCCCTCTACAAATAACAGATGTGGTGCTAGAATAAGCTGACAACGAATTGTTAATTACTGCTAGATTTCTGTCCTCTGCTAAGGGAAATATTTCCTTAGCAGATTTCCTGATCCATGCCCATAACCCCTTACTCTGTAAACTGTGATATGTACATGAAGGCTGCAAGTATGGAGGAGCGACACACAGCTTTTGCAAACTCAAACTGCACTGTGTCACTGGGCCCAGGATAAAATAAATCAGTGCTGCTTTTTAAAATATGTTTTTGCCTCATTTTTTGAACTCGAGTTTGGGGGCTCATTTGTGGATTACAATATTACCCAGGTAACTACTTGTAACCTTATTGGTTCACCATAGTCTTGTACTACCTCACACCTACCTTGTGATTTTCCACTGTATCAGTATTACCTAAGCTATTGTAATCTTACTGACTGATTATAGTCCTGTCACACCTTGAACCTACCTCACCTACCTCAAGGCTTTGCTCAATAAACACCCTTCGAAAATGAGGTTGGTGGGCAACCCACTTTCTGAGCACCCTTCTGTTGCTCTCAGACAGAAGTTTTCTTCTCTAAATTCTTTCTACTCTGAACCTCCATTGTTCCTAGAATTCATTATTTGATTTTAGAAAACACGAACTTAAGTGTTTTGGACATCAAGTAGGTTGGGAGTTATACTTCCCCTATATTAATCATTTTCTGTGTGACATGATTTGAGTGCTAGAACAGTTAAGTGTTAGGTATTAATAATAAAAGATTGGAATGAAACTTCTGGTAGCTGCCAAGGACACAACTCCAAGTGAAATCTGTAGTACTCAGTGAAGGTAATAACACTAACACAGCTTATGAATATTTTGCTTTCTTTTTTTTTTTTTTTTTTTTTTGGTACCAGGGATTGAACTCACATCCTTGTGCTTGCCAAGCAGGTGCTTATGCTGCTGAGCTAAATCCCTGGCCAATTATTTTGTCTTTTTGAGATGGTCTCACTATGCAGTTCAGGCCAGCCTTGAGCTTACTTTGTAGCTGATCCTCCTGCCTCAGCCTCCCAAGTGCTTGGGATTATAGGCATACATTAGCATGCCCAGCTTGTGAACTGTTGATAGTCAATAAAATCCAACACTGGAAAGATACAAACATGTCAGTCTATATTAATAGTATATGTGGCTCCTGAGAGGAACTTTACTATAAAAAAGTTCACTGAAGGCAGTATGCCAAGTTATGCTGGCAACAGCCTCACACATCTCCCACTGACTGTCTCCTGACTGCATTGTGAGGCCAGGCTGAATGACCTATCCACCTACACTTGAGTATACACATCCTGTGGTGTCTGAGCAGAGAGGAAGCAATGCATTTCTCAGATTGGCTTCCACCACTAAATGCAGCATGACTGTAAAGGGACTTAACTTTTCACTGTAGGTTTCACTTCTATAGTTCATACAGCCAACTAAAGGAACTACAAACACTGGACTAGAGGGTCCTTAATTTAATTCTACAACATCAAATATTTTAGGCATTAAGACTCAAATTTAAACTGGGTGTGGTAGCACACACAGTAATCGCTGCACTCTGGGCAGCTGAGGCAGGAGGATCAGAATACAAGCCTAGCCTGGCCTTTATTTTGTCTCAAAACAAAAAAGGACCAGAGATATAGCTCAGTGCAGAAAGCCTTGGGAACAATCCATGAATAGACTTCCCCCAGAGAGGACTGTGATACTCAAATCTTAAACACTTACCATGTAAATAGCCTCGTTAATGACAATGTCCTTGACTTTGTCCATCTCTATGAAGGTAGTGTTTTCTTTGCCTGAAGCATAGGATGAGGTCATTTGGATGCCAAGAGAATCAATGATTAACAGAGTCTCCTGATCAATCTTCACAAAATGGAGGTAACCAAGCAGGCCTAAGACAGTGATGAAGATGGCTGCTGAGAGGATCGTGCTGTTCTGAAGAAAGAGCCAGACACAGGTTGTAAGGTTTCCAAAAGGGCCTCTGCATGCATCTGTGCTATAAAAATCAACTATGTGCCAGGCATGATAGCGCACACCTGTAATCTCACACTTGGAAGACTGAGGTAGGAAGATTACTGTGAGTTTGAGTCCAGTTTGGGCTACAAAGTGAAATCAAGACCAGCCTGAACTGAATAGTGAGACAAACAATCCAAAATAAAACAAGTCACCCTTATGATTAGACAACCCAATACGGATGAAAATACATAACAATTCTCGTATTTCTTTCTGTATGGAAAGATCCTGCAATAGAAATGTATGTGCACTCGCTCCTAGAATGTGGAGGTAACTCATTCCAAATAGAAATCATACATGATAGTCAATTTCAATACTCTTACACCTGTAAACCTTAAGAGTAGAAAACCCAATTTGGGTGAAAATACATTCCAGTATTGTGACTTTTTGTGCGCCAAAAGAGCCTACAATAGTAATATATGTGAACTAGCTCCTAGAACTTGGGGTAACTCATTCCACATACAAATCATGCATGATAGTCAATTTCAACAGAATTATACCTTTAAACCTTAAAACTAGAAAACCCAATTTTGATGAAATAGTCTTAAAGTTCTTATGATTTTATGTGCGCTGAAAGAGCTGAGAATAAAAATGTATGTGAACTACCTCCTAGAACGCGGATGTAACTCGTTCCCCATAGAAATCATACATTATAGTCAATTTCAATGCTATTATACATGTAAACCTTAAGACTGGAAAACCCAATTTGGATGAAAATATATTACATTTCTTGTGACATACTGTCTGTGCTGAAAGACCAGCAACATAAATGTATGTGAACTACCTACCAGAACGTGGGGGTAACTCATTCCAAATAGAAATCATACATGATAGTCAATTTCAACACTCTTACACCTGTAAACCTTAAGACTCGAAAACCCCATTTGTGTCACAAAAAGAGCCTGAAATATAAATGTATGTGAACTAGCTTCAAGAACAGGGGTAACTCATTTCCCATAGAAATCATATATGATACTCAATTTCAACACTCTTAAACCTGTAAAGTTTAACACTAGCAAACATGATGTGGATGAAAATACATTCCAGTTCTTATGATTCATTCTCTGCCCAAATAGCCTGCAACAGAAATGTATGTCAACTAGGTCCTAGAACTTGGGGGTAACACATTCCGCATAGAAATCATACATGATGGTCAATTTCTACACTTTCACACCAGTAAACCTTAAGACTAGAAAACCTGAATGAACATACAATCTAGTTCTTATAATTATCTTTGTGCTAAAACAGTCTGCAATAGAAATGTATGTGAACTAACTCCTAGAACGTGGGGGTAACTCATTCCACATAGAAACCACACATGATAGTGAATTTCAACACTCTTATACCTGTAAACCTTAAGAATGGGTAACCTGATTTGGATGAAAATACATTCCAATTCTTGTGACTCTGTGTGCACTGGAAGAGCCTAAGAAAGAAATTTATGTGAACTAGCTCCTAGAATGAGGATGTAACTCATAAACCATAGAAATACATGACAGTCAATTTCAACACTCTTACACCTGTAAACCTTAAGACTAGAAAACCTGATTTAGATGAAAATACATTCCTGTTCTTGTGATTCTGTATGCGTTGAAAAAGACTACAAAAGCAATGTATGTGAACCAGATCCTAGAATGAGGATGTAACTCATAAACCATAGACATCCTACATGATCGTCAATTTCAACACTCTTACACCTGTAAACCATAACACTAGGAAAGGCGATTGGGATGAAAATACATTCCACTTTTTATGATTCTGTTTGTGCTCAAAGAGCCTGCAATATACATGTATGTTAACTAGTTCCTAGAATGTGGGGAAACTCATTCCGCATAGAAATCAGACATGATAGTCGATTTCAACATTCTTGCACCTGTAAATCATAAGACTAGAAAACCCAAGTAGGATGAAAATACATTACAGTTCTTGTAGTTCTACGTGCACTGAAAGAGCCTGCAATAGAAATGTACGGGAACTAGCTCCTAGAATGTGGAGGTAACTCATTCCGCAATGGCCCTTTCTCTACTGTGAGTTAAACAATGAGGGGAACATGCTTGGACGGCGAAATCACTTTTACTTGGGATTGATAGTAATATGCAATAAAATAAATCCAGTCTATAAATTAATGGGTCTGGGGAGAACCTCTAGCAAAATATCTACTATCACATCAATCTCAGACATTCTTTCAAAAGAGGCCCAGATCTTTTCTTCCATGCTCCCTCAGCAGAATATGGAGCACCAAATTAGACTAAACAACTGTACAGTGCTTAGCACTTTAGCAGATACCATTTCTCATCTGACAATGGCCATTTATCCTTCCTAATACAATTCAGAGTGAATCCTGGTAGGCACAGAAATGAGCATGTGACACAACTCCGGCCAATGACATGGGGGCAAGTTTACCAGACAACAAACAGCGCACCTTCTAAAGACATTCAAGGAAGAAAGATCCCCTTGCTGTGAGATTTCGATACCAGACTGACTATATACCTGCCAAAGTAGAGAGCCAGGCTGAGGGCAAGCAGAGCATAGTGAGGGTGGAAGAGCAGGAAGGTGAGGAATCAGAACTAAATGAACTTCTCACATCAACTCTGGAGCCTTCCTACCTCATGGTTTCTGTTTGTGTTAAACTAAAAGTCCTCATCCTTTAAGGCTCAGTTCTGCATTATTCCCAGGTGACTGTGACTAAGTGATATGTTAAAGGCTCAAATAATAGTAGCTGTTACGTATTCCTGTGGATGTAAGACATATGAACACCCTTTTAACATTTCAGAAGTTGAACATTTTTGTTATTGTATTTTATTTTTCACATAGCATATTTTTCTTTTTTTTCCACAGAAGCTATAATTGAGGAAGCTGGTAAAGAAAAAAGTTGTTGATGACCTAGAATCAATGAAATTCAGTAATTTAGGACTGCATTCCTTTAAGTATTTAATTATTCTTTGTACTGCCTAGATACCCCCTCAAGTAACTATACCGCAACCTTGGCATCTGTCTTTGTTAGAACTGCACAGCACACTATAGCAAAGATCTTACTAAGTTAGTCTAAGAGAACTCTCACTCTTGGTATATGATAACCCTGGTGTGGATCAATGTGTTACTGTAATAAAATACCTGAGATAAACAACTTCAAAAGAAAAAAGGTTGGGACTGGAGGTATAGCACTTGCCTAGCATGTATACAGCCCTAGATTCAATCCCCAACACAAGGGAGATTGGGAAGCAGGGAGGAGAAGAAACTTATTTTGGCTCTGTTTTGCAGGTTTCAGCCGATGGTCAGTAGGTTCTGCGGCAAAGCAGTGTAACATGGCACAAAGCAGGCTGCTCACCCCACTGCAGGCTGCTCAACTCATTGCAGTCAAGAAGCAAAAGAGGAAGAGACTGATGTCGCACTGACACCATCATGTCACAGTCAGAGGTCACCACATGACCAGGGTACAGGCAGAATCTTGAGTCCTTGGCCTGTTTGTTACTCAGTAAATGCTTAGTATCTGTTTTCTCCTAAGGCAGTCAGGGTTTTAAAAATGTTTTTTACTAAAACCGTAACTCTGCCCTTGGTACAATTGTCTGACAGGTAACTAGTAGTAGCCCAAAGCTTACCTTCATTTGTATCTTGTGTTACCGTGAATCTTTGGGTCAAATCCCTTTTCACCTCTACATTCAGATATGTCGATCATTTGGGAGATGTCTAAAAGTTGGCAAAACAAAGTTGATAGGCCCTGCTGGGCACAGTGGCGCATGCCTATAATCCTAGTACTTGGGAGGCTAAGGCAGGAGGATCATTCCAAGTTTGAGACCAACCTGGGCTACAAAGTGAGCCCAAGGCCAACCTACATAGTGAGACCTTGTCTCAAAACATAAAAACAAAACAAAACAAAAAAACCTGACTGGTCCTGAATTTACATGATTTCATCCCCTTTCAAGGCTGAGGACATCCAACTATGTCCCAAAGTCTCCAGCCATTGTCCTAAAAGTGTCATGGCCTGGATTCCAGAAAGTGCAGAGCCCCACAAGACTGAAACCACCACAGAGGCACTCATTTCATGGGAACGGAAGGCCTCTCAATCATGAGGATTCCAGAGCCAGGAAATCAGGACTGAGATAAAGAACACCTAGACCCCAGCCCACCAGCTCATCCTTCAGAGCTGGCCTTTGTGAGTGGGTCAGTCTGATTCCCTCCATCCAAGTGTGCCCTCTCTAGTTCCACAAGGTGGAGCCCTTTCCTACTTTTTTGTTTTCTTCTTTGTTAGGGGCCAACCTAATCTTTATTAATTCCTCAAGCTAAACTCCCTCACCATATCTCTTATTTTCTAATTAAAGCTTTTTTTTTCCATCAATTTGTATGTGTTTTAATTTCCCTTATTACTAAAAGCAAAGACTCACAGTAGCCACTGATAAGAATACGCTTGTGACTCAGTACCTCCCATGGCCCCCTTCCAATAAGCACCAAACTGAGAGCCTTTACAATGAGCTTAGCCCAGTGTGGGGATGTATACCTTTCACTCCCACTCTGGAAGGCTGAGGCAGGAGGACTTGTAAATGCAAGTCAGTTCTGGGCAATTTATGACTTAGTAAGATGCTTTCTCAAGAATAAGTAAATTAATTAATTTTTTAAAAAACAGTCCAAGGATGTAGTTCAGAGTAAAGGCTCTGGGTTCAATATCCAGTACTGAAAGAAGTAGGCAAGGATTGGGGGAGATCCAGCTCTGAACTGTAGCACTTGCCTTCTACAGGAATCTTCACAAGTTGGTTCAGCCAGAATTCTACCTTGCTCCTGATGCTTCCTTTTGCCTGAGGCCACTGATCTCCTTCCTGTTCCATGTTATAAATCCTCACTTACCCTTGCTATATTTGGAAATGAGACCAGTTCTATACTGAAGTCTCTTTTCTTCTATCCAGTAGGTCCTAACTTGTTGATGTTGTTGTTTTAGTGAAGGTAATGGGGATTGAACCCAGGACTAATTGACCTACATCTCTAACTTTTTTCATTTTTTGTTTTGAGACAAGACCTCACTAAGTCACTTAGTTACTTTTCTGTTGCTGAAACAAAATACTCAACATCCAAAGTTAAAGGAGGAAAGATTTACTTGGTTCAGTTGATAGAGGCTACAGTTCACAGTTGGCTGGTTAAAAGGGTGGGTAACATAACAGAGGAGCATCACAGAGGAGAAATAGCCCATAGCAGGTGGAAGGCAGCAAGAGACAAGAAGCAAAGTACCCAGTGACAAGTGACAAACAATAGTCCTCTTTCTGTCCCTTATATTCTATCCAGGCTACCTGTCCTTAGGGTGCGTAGCACTCTCACCCAGCGTAGGCCTTCCTATTATCCACACCCAGAACTATGCCAAACCAACTATGTGCTAATTTAATAATCAACCCTAAATTGCCTAGGCTGAATTTGAACTTGAAATTCCTCTGCCTCAGCCTTCCAGAGTACAGGGATTACAGGTATATGCTACCGCATGTGGTTCTAAATAAAATCTTTTTACCCCTTTACCTAACTAGCTCTGGTTTGACAGAACCCAACACTGAGTAATTATCAGATCAAGGATCTGCAAACTTTGGGTCTGTTTTTCTCTGGGCCACCTTGAGCAAAGAATGATTTTCAATTTTTTATACAATTATAGGAAGAAAATAATATTACTCTGAGAACCAAAAAACCTGAAATACTTACTTTTCATATAAAAAAGGAGGATTCTACTTTGGGTCTCTGATGATCCAAGAAGACCCCGTTGAGTTAATTAACTATCTTGTGTAGCCAGTGTCTTATACTGAATAAGTGTTATGGAAGAATACTGAGGGAATAAACTTCAGTCCCTGCCAAACAGGTTTATTAGTGGCAAGGTTAATACACAGAAAAAATTTTGGAGAATACCAAAGTGCTGATTGTAAACACCAAAGTGAGACAGCAAGAGACACAGAGAGACAGACAGATAGACAGACACAGAGATAGAAACAGGCAGACAGAGATAGCTCTCACGAAGACTTGCAAGGAAACAGGGTTTAATTGGAGCAGAGAATGTGATAGCTATAGATAGATATGAAATAATTAGTTGAAAAGGAAAAGGGGGAAACATTCTAAATTGAAATAAATGGAATTCAAAGCCAGAAGTAATAAAATGCTCAAAATGTCCTACTTGGATCTTTTTCTACGTTACTTTTTTGTTTGGAATTAGATACCATATTCATTGGATCAGAGTTAAGATATTTGTGTAAATCCCTTCAATCAGATTTCTTCTCCAGAAATTTATTACCCGCATGGATATTCTGAAAAGAAAGAAAGATTAGAAATGTTGGTACAACACAGAGCCCTAAAGAAATGCAGGAGCTGGGGATTTAGCTCAGCAGCATAAGCGCCTGCCTTGCAAGCGCATGGTCATGAGTTCAATCCCCAGTACCTTAAAATATAAAGTGCAGGAGTAGAAGATAAAAGAAGATAAGTCATTTGCTTACAAGGCACTTGGGTCATTATTAGGATGAGAGAGACAAGCATAAGAAGGAAGCTGGCATAAAGGCAGTCTTTTATTTAAACATTCTGCTTAAGATCATTTATACTGTGGTATAATGAAAAAAAGGGGGGGGATGTTTCAAAGAAAGCTCTGGGTTTAAAGCTCAGATCTGTCACTTAATGGCAAATTATCACTTTCTGAGCCTTAGTTTTCTTCTAAGGTGGAAGCAAGGAATTTAGTACAGCACATGGTACTCAGTGGGTTCTTCCTCCCTGTATGACTAGACCTCAGGCTAGTGTCAAAATTCAAATGTATTATAAAATAAATTGGAAGGGGGCTTTTAATATTATTTCAACTGGCCTATTAAGAAACTTGTAGACACAATGTGGTACAAATTAAGACAGTCTTCGGGAGTAGTGGAGCACACCTGTAATCTCAGCACTGAGGCAAGAAGATCACAAGTGCAAGGCCAGCCTGGGCTACATAGCAAGACCTTGTTTCAAAAAAGTCTGGGGGCATGGGGATTAAGGCAGTCTTAGGTCACCTACTTCTATGCCAAAAAATACAGTGTTGCAAAACAGTACTGTTATGGGTGCAGTAACAGACGCAGCAAATTACAGAAACAAATAACCCGGACATATTACCTGTGATCAACTCACTCCTGGATAATATATTAGCATACTATATAAGAAATTAGAACTATAGTAAGCATACTATATAAGAAATCGGAACTGTCCTGGAAAAGGACAATTCAGATGATTCTTTTGAGTACTGTCATAAAGTTACTGCACTTTACCCTTACAATACTCTGAAGACTCTTTCTTTCTTTCTTTCTTTTTTCATTTTGAGACAAGATCTTGATATGTAGCCCAGGCTGATCTCAAATTGACTATAATCGTCCTGCCTCAGTCTCCAGGGTACAGGGGTCACAGATGTATGCCACCATGCCAACCTTTGTGAAGCAGATATTTAATTCTATTTTAGAGATGTAAAATTTTAGGCTCAGAGAAAATAGGAATGAGGCTGGAAACTATGCACAGAAACTACTCAGTTCTGAAATCTCATAATTCTTTAGAAAGCACACTTGAAATTGAGGAATTGATTGGGAGAAGGGAGGATTAAATTGTCTTTAAAACCACAGGCTAGGAACAATACACTACAGCTATATACACACCCCTACTTGTGGAGAGGCATAGTTTGTGTAAGTCTGCACAGTAGGCTCTGTTAGCAGAGACACCTCTGCAGAGCAGAAGCGATGGACGAGGATGCTCCACCTAATACTCGTCTGGGGTTAAAGTACTGTGCACCTCTGCTACCCAGAGCTTGTGGAAGTGAAGCTTTTAGGCTGTGCAAGAACAGACGTATGTTACGCTGGGCAGATTCACAGAGCACCAAACCTAATGAAAAGAGCTGTCTAGCACAGAGGTTCCCCAGAACCAGGGAGTCCCCGCCCCCAGATCCGATGGCCTGCAGGGTCCCACCCGAGGCCTGGGCTCCCCCCACCCCCCACCCCCACCCCGCTCCCACCCGCGACCCCGACCAGGCCGCCGCCTCCGAGAGCGGCCAGGGCCCGGCTCGCGGTTACCTCGCACAGAGTGAAGAGTCCGTAGGCTACTAGCCACACTGTGCAGGTGACAGAGGTGAGCGAGCGCAACGAGAGCCGAGGGCAGCTGACGCAGAACTCCCGGCAGAAAGACGAGTAGTAGCGGCGCTGCAGGGCCAGACGGCCGCCGCAGATATCCGAGAAGATCCTCTCGTCCTCCATGCCCCCCACTCTGGAACTCCAGCGAGCCGCTTTAGCCCACCAGGGGAAAGGCGCGGTCCCGCGGGCTCCGGACGCGCGCCCGGAAGTGGGTCTGCCCCGCCCCTTCCTACGGTCTGCGCAGCCGCAGTAGCGTACCAAGAGCAGCGTGCTTCCAACCCTGGCTCAAACCGGTGCCTGTAATTGTCTCTTTGCAGGGATTCGTAGGGAGTCAACAGTCGTAGGCTGATATAAACAGATTTCTATTACTGAAAAAGATATGCGCCAAGGAAATGGTCCTTCCATTAGCATTCATTTATTCCACTCCATTTCTGTGCCACGTAGTTTTTCTTTCCCACGTAGTTTTGTGAGCCAAGAATATTAACAAGATCTTTGCCTCAAGTACTTCTGTTTTTGTTTTTTCTCCTAGTAGAATAAACTATATGGAAATAACCTTAGATGCTGTTGGTACTAATGAGCCGACCGGGACTTTCCGAGGCATCCAGGAAAGGTCTCTGAAGACCTTGGACGAGGTGTCACCTTGGGGCACGCTGGAGATGGAGTTTGCTGGCAAGAAGGATCAAAAAAACCCCCAAGGCTGGAACGAATTTGGCTTGTGGAAGCAGCCCGAATGCTGGAGCTGTTGGCGCGTGGGCTAGAGTTTTTGAGTTGGGGAGGCAGATAAGGATGAGAATGTTGCACCTGGTAAAGAGTTTGGGTTTCACTGTCTGGGAATTCCCTCTCTCAATCTGCTTCCTGGAGCATGGAGTAGGCAGACGGGAGGGGCGGTGCAGAAGGTGTGGACAACAAAAATCACCAAATTTACGAACAGTAAATAGCTTGTGGGTTCCCTTTTTACTTCAGATGTAGTCCAACAGTGGTTGTGTGGCTTGGAGAAACAGTTGTAGTCCATCAACCTATAGCAACGGCAGCATTAGGTATTAAGGAGATGATTCTTTTGGTTTTTTGGTACCAAGGATCGAGCTCACGCTTGCCAGGCAGGCACGTATGTCACTGAGCTAAATCCCCTGCCAGAGATGATCCTTTTGTGTATAAACATCAAGACTCAGAGATGAAAATAGGGCTCAGTTTCTTCGTCTGTATATTCATATTCTCTATCTCTTCTTCTCTTCTTCCCACCCTGAAAATTTTCCTTCAGGCATTCTTTTGTTTTTCCAATTTTATTTCTGTATCCTGAGACCAGCAAATACATTCCTCTTATATTAAGCCAGCCACATTTTCACACAAAGAAGCACCGTCAAAGTTTAGGGGAAACTTTAGTCCTGACTTTTTTTTTCCCCTTTTGAAACAAGGGCTCATTGTGTGGCCCAAGCCAGCCTGAAACTTGTGATCCTCCTGTCTCAGCCTGGAATTGCAGGCATCAGTCACCAAGTTTGCCTTATTCTTGGCATTCTTAACTTTAGCTCTCTAGACAGAATCAGGTTTTTATTTTCTGTTTAATAAACTTCTAATTGAAATGTAACATTTCCTCTGATTATGAATGTTAAACAGGGCCAAGGACTATGGCTCAGCAGCACAGTGCTTGCCTGGCAAGTGTAGGGTCCTCAGTTTGACTCTCAATACAAAAAAAAAAAAAAAGAAGAAGAAGAAGAAGAAGAAGCAGGCAACAAACTATTAGTATTACAGTACTCATGATTTTTGTCACTGACAAAATCACAAATATGTGCATTCCATAATAATCATTATAGTTATCTCAAAATATAATGTACAGTCATTACTACTTAAAAATTGCAAAAATTATTAGAGGTACCACTAGATCTTGTTATTTAATGAGTCAATAAAGAGGCAGATTACTATAACATTTTCAAAAGGTTTTGATATATTTTAATTCAATTTGTTTTCCTTGAAATCCCGTGCATTTTATTTATGCATTATTATGACAAACTCTGTTAACTTTACCAGGCATACAGAGGGGCTATGGCCCAAAAATACTAAAAACCTGCATAGGATAAGAAATTCCACAAGTAGTTGAGTTTGTTTTCAAATGCCTGTCATCCCAGCTATTCAGCAGACTGAGCTAAGACAATTGCAAATTGGAGGCCAGCCAGGTTTTCAAGGCCATCCTACTGCCTCAGCTTCCCAAGTGCTGAGATTACCGACATGTGCCATCATGCTGGGCACAAAATCTCAAAGAAACCTGGCTAGGGCTAAATATAAGGCCTTTCTAACAGCTTCCTTTCTTGGCCAACACTTTCCACAGTACTTTTGAGGCTTAGGACTACTTTGAAGTCCATGGCTGAGAGTAAAAAGAATCACTCCTTGCTATTTTTGCAAGGCTATACTCAAGAGAAATTAATATCTTGGTTGGCATCAGGGAAAATGCCATATGTATGCTTCATTTTCTACTGAGGTGCCAAACTCCATACGGGTAAAATTATGCTGTAATCTGACAGAAAAAAGCATTACCACATTACTCCTAATAATTATTTTTATTTTGAGACAGTTGGGTGAGACTCTACAAGTGTGTCAGCGTCATGACATTTTACCTCCAAAGGGTAGGCATCTTTAATGGAAGCAAATCACTTTAAAACAAATAAATAAATAGAGCTAGGAATATGTTTGAGGGAGTTGAGCACTGTGGTGGTAGTATACAGAATTAATCTCACCTATGATGATAGTTATTTTTAATGTTGGAGTTATTCTTGGAACCTCAGACTCTATCAATAGTAAAGAGAATAGAATTAAATAATTCAGTTGGCTTCTTATTTTTAGGGCTCATTCTGGATTCTTAAAACATTTCTTTGGAGCTTTCCTTCTTGTATTTGCTTATACTTACAAATTATAGTAGTTCCAAGAATACCATTTCATACAATATGTTGTATTCTAATTGGTTAAAAAGTTTTTTTCTTTGAAATGAGGTCTTGCCACATTGCCCAGTCTGGTCTCCAACTCAAGTGGTCCTCTTGACTCAGCCTCTTAAGTGGCTGCCATGTATCCAGCCCCACTATTTGATTTTCTTGTGGTATGGTGTTAATGACTGCTGCAACTATGTTAACTGAGAATAAATCTCCTGGTTAGGGCCACTTACCCATAGAGAAGTGTTAGGGCTAGATGTACCCCCAAAGTCTTATGCAGTGAAGGGATTGCTTTTCAGAGGTGGCTGGATCTAGAGAGTATAATACTGGGATCAAGGTTGATCAAGGTTGTGTAGTTACTAAATCACCCCACAGATTGGTTTGGCATAGTTCTGGCTAGGATTAAGGGTGCGAGTGCTGCACCCATCCTAGGGTGGGTAGCCTGCATAAAATATAGGGGACAGAGAGGGAAATAATGTGTGCTCACCTGCCTGCTTGCTGTGGACTCTTTCTCCTCTGTGATGCCCCTGGCCATGCCACCCTGCCTTGGAGCCAGCCAACTAGGGACTGAAACCTGCACAAACTGTGAGCCAAATAAACCTTTCCTCCTTTAACTTTGGGTGTTGGGTATTTTGTCTCAGCAGTGAGAAAAAGTAACTAAGACTGGAAGAAAAAGTAATTGCCCATATAGTTAAAAAAGAAATTTCAACATAATAAGAATTTTTAAGTAAATATGACACTTTTTGTCTGTTCTTTGGTCAGCTATTTAGAGGTTGCTGTAGATATTATACATTCACACAGCGTATGCTGCTCCTGACTTTCACCACCGTGAATGAAGGGTGGAGACCTTACTTGCTTTTTGCACCTTTACCTTTCCCAGTTTATAACTGTCTGAATTCTTCTGCTTTGTCACATCAGACAAGGGCATAATTTTAATTTCAACCACTAAACATAATTTAGAAAACTCAAAAGGAAAGAAAGTTTATTGTTCACTCATTTTTTGCCTTTTCTACTGTTTTCTTCCTTGACAGTGTTCCAAACATCCTTCATCATTTCTATTTGGGGAGCTCCTTCTAGATGTATTTTAAGGCCAGTCCATGGTGACAGATTCTCTTGGTGTTCCTTCTTTTGAGAATATCTTGATTTCTCACTTATCGCTCCTTCCCCAGTAGAGGGGCTATACCCTTGGGGCACTAAGCTACGTCCTCAGCCCGTTTTGGTTTTTATGTTAGCTAAGTTGCCCAGGCTGGCTCTGTACTTATGATCCTCCTGCCTTAGCCTCCAAAATAGCAGAGATTACAGTTTATGTCACTATGTGTAGGTGATTTCTCCTTCCTCGTAGAAGAATATTTTCTGAGTTGATAATTCTTTTCTTTCAGTGCTTGCAAAACATAGTGTTACTTCTCTCTGGCCTCCATGATTTCTGATGAGAAATCTGCTGTCATTTGAATGATTGTCTCCCCCCAATAAGAAGGTATTTTTTTCTGCCACTGCTTTAAACATTTTTTCTTCATCTCTACCTTTCACAAAGCTGACTATGATATAGTGGTGTGAATTCCAGTGGGTTTATCTTGTTTGGGTTGGCTTGTCTTTTCTTTTTTTTCCTTCCTTTTTTCTACTTCCTCCTTTTTTTTCTTTTTCTTTTTTGTTTTCTTTCTTTCTTTTGTTCTTCCTTTCTTTCTTTTTTTTTTGAGACAGGATCTCAGTGTACTTTAGTCTGGCCTTGAATTAACTGTGTAGCCTAGGCTGGCTTCAAACTCATGGCAATCCTCCTGCCTCAGCCTTTCTAGTGCTGAAATTACAGCCATGTGTTACCACACCCAGTTAAACTTCTAGAATTATAAATTTATGTCCTGCCAAATTTGGGAGATTGCAGCCATTATATCTTCACATCTTTTATAGCTTCACCCTCCATCTTCTGTATAACTCAATGTTGTGGAATTATTTGTCTTTCATATTCCAGCTTCTGCTCCATTCTGAATTAATTTTTGCTTATAAGGGCTAACTAAGGGTCATTCCCCTTCCCCAGAAGCATTTGTTGAAAAGGCCATTCTTTCCCTGTGAATTTGCTGTGTCATAAATCGAGTTACTGTATATGTGTTGGTTTGTTTTCAGATTCTTGTGTTCCACTGTCTTTATTTTGTCTTTCCTAATATCAACATGTGCTAACAGCAACACATCTAAACTACAGTAGCCTTATAGTGGGTCTTGATTTCTCATAGTGCTTTCTTCTAACTGTACTTTTCCCTCAAAATTAGGTCAGCTTTTCTCATCTCTTTTGTTGTTTTGTTTCATTTTGTTT